ATGCATCAGAGTCAGTCTCGTAGTTGGACTCATCGTCTTCGATATCTTCCTCTTCTCCTAGCAGCAAGGTAATCGTGTTATCCGCCAGTTTCAGGGGTAGCTTAATGATCTCAGCCACTGGGTTGCGGCGCTTCTGTTCACGCTCAATGAGCTTGCTGATATCAACCCAATCCATGCCTTGCTGAAGCAGTCCATTGACAGCGTCCATCGCCTCCTGCACACGCTCGACGTTTGCCTCGATCGCGGTTGCCTTCTGGACATTGAGTGATTTCGCCTCCCGGAGACCCTCAATACGCTTCTCCTGGTCGTTTCGCGCTGCGTCAAGCTTTCTCCTTGCCGCGGCCTCTCGCTCGGTAAGTCTTGACTCCAGCTTCTGGCCCTCCAAAGACGAAAAGAACTCGTCGACAGTCTTGTTGTAGCCATCAAACTCGATGACCTTGACAGTGGGGTCGTTTGCAAACTTGTTGGGCAAGAAGGGGTGGAAGTCGTCGTAGAGAAGATCCGATCTCTTCGCCTCCTCTCCCTCTGCTGCTGGCGCGCCGTCCGGCTTCGATCGGTACTTTGCAAAAATGTAGCCCTTGGCCGTGGCAGAGCTAGTGGCAACTTCCACAATACTGCGGGCTTCGGTCAACGCCTTCAGAAGCGCATCCAGAAGCGATTCATCCTCGAGAATCTCGGCGGGTTTCTTGGTGCCGTCAAACTTGGTAATCTGGAATGCGTGGTCGACGAGAATAGGCGGTAATTCGGTGATCGTCGTCGCCAAACTCCTCCTCAACTCGTCACCAGGCTTCGTCTTGATCTTCTTCCCCGCAGAGACAGCTGTCGCGCTCTTCTTGACTGACGACTCCAGTGCCGCTCGTACTCTCTCCTTTGTGAGATCGGGAACGCCGTTGAAGTTCTGCCGGTTGTCTAACGAGTAGTTCAACCCGATTCGCTGAGGTTCCTGGCCCTCTCCTTCGGGGACGTTGCGCAGGAGTGTGAGGATCTTGAGGTCGGCATCGGTCAAGATGACGTTTCCGCTCTGCGTAAAGACAAAGTCAGTGGTTGATTCTTGTCGCAGGTAGATAAATCAAGCCACTTACAGCAAAGAACTCGAGGAAAAGACGGTACTGGCCATCGCTAAACTGAAACTCCAAGATTCTGTCCGTTCCAACCTGCTTAACAGACGTCAACCGCCTCGTCTTCAGAAACTTGCGCAACCGCGCCACAAAAGCCGAGGGCGCCGCGGCGGTCGTGCGCGTAAAGTCTGTAAGATGGCATCGGAAACCAGAGTCGATAATAAGCTGCTTCTTATTATCGGGCTTGGCGAACTTGAGGAGTAGGATCTTGGAGGAGAGGTCGTAGACGTTGGCGAGTCGCAGGGTCGTCAGGCTCTCTTGGAGCTCGTGGGCGATGACTTTGACGTCGATGGACGAGAAACGCTGCTTCATGTCTGCGGCAGTCGAGTCGTAGAGATTTGGTATAGGGTCGGTTTAACAAAGCGAGCGCGCCAGTCTTTTTGTGGCGGCTTTGGTGTTGCAAAGAGTTGAATACGTTGCCAGTGAGGGGCAGGAATATGTGATGCAAATGAATAATCGCGGGGCATTCGTGGCTGAAGAGCTTTGAAAATGTGGAATGCGCCACGATGACGTCACGTGCCTGGTTTGTCACCGGGGACTTCACTCCGTGTTCGTCGGGTCTTTCTGCCAATTGTTAGGAAATTCAAATAGTATTCAGTCTTGTGTAACTATTGTTCAAATGATAAGAGACTCAGGCGCTTTCAATTAGGATTATAGGCTTCATTGATGGGAATTGGCCTCACTATGATTTCTCATCTCTCATCCCGAGCTGGCCGTGATGACGCACACCGAGCTTCTAGCGCCACATTTCGAGCTTCAAGCGAAGACGAAGAGCTGTCATACTAAATTAGAGCTCCGTGCCACCGGTTCGTGGTGACATATGCCAACTCAAATAAGATGCAACAAGGTCTTTGTCTCTGAAGTTTCACTCGAAACGTTGTAAGTGAATTAATTATACAGCCAGTCCAAGGCTTGCCAATCTTCGATGGATTCTTCAGAACCACATGGGTCCTAATGCTTGAATCAACAAAGCCTTGAATCAAGGAAAAGGCTATACGCTTTCCATCAAAGGACGGCTATCATTCAAGACAATACACTTGATGGTAGTTTTGGCAGCATGCCACTACGACATGCCACTCTATAGGTGGTGCGGCTCAGCAGCTTAAAATGATTGCAAAGTAGTATCAATAGCTTGACGGATATAATGCCCATGCCTAACCGCTCAAGCGCGTACTTGATAATGGCAGTCTCAAGTGCGGTCTTCAATTCTATAGGTCGACGATCACTTTTTGAAGCAACTCGCAATCACAATTGAACACAGGCAGTGCATGGACTCTACTAGATGCGTCAACCCGCGCAGCGAAGCCATTGTTCACCAGTCTTGGCCTTCAACGAGGAAGAATGTGTGCCATGGACATTCAGCCGGCATAGACTATATCAGCTATGCCTTTCGTAGAGACGTGGCTGATATCGCCTTTCACTTCGAGGTTTCGGCCTCAAATTCGTTGACCAACTGCCATTTCTGACCTCTTCAAGCGACGATCTCCTGCATCGTCCCTACAGCGGCCCCATGACTCTGTTGTTTAACCGCCAATAGCAAGAAATATTCCCAAGCTCTTTTGACTTTCATGTGATCCATCCACATAATCACATCTGTTATCCTCTGTTCGATCCCGTCGGCGGCGGAGAGCGATGGTCGTCCAGTGCCGAAGAAAGGGTACTCAATTACAGTTAGCGCGGGAGCCGGGGCCAGTCAGTCGTCACGGCAACCAGGTGCTTTGCAGGGGAGCTCCCGCCCGTGTGCCCCGACCGGTTCGTCTGGTTTGATGGCTTTGGTTTGAAACCATTGACAATATGATGCCAATTGGGATGATCCAAGGACGGGGAGGCTGGTGATTATGAATAGCTCCAACCTCTCCCATTGTAGAGTGCCAGAGTCTCATAGGAGAGCAAAACTGGGACGGAGCAGCGTCTCCATGACTCTCTGATGGATCCAGGGGAAATGGGGAATCTGACTGCTGAGATCCATCAATGGTTTGAAGCCCCACTCGGGCGCTGCGGGCGGGATCCGTGAGGTAGGCAGGACCGTAGGTAGGGTACTTTGCCTTGGCCACGTCGTAGGCCTCCCTGGAAAAAGCAAAGCCGCCAGCCAGCCTCGTTTTGCATGTGCGACCGTCGACTTGCATGAGTTGTGCGGCGGTTGCAGACAGACAGTCCAATGGAGGTGTTCCACGATGTGTGAGACCCAGTATTGGATCCCCCGTATTGGTGTGAGAACTTGAGAAGTGGTCGATTGCTGATTTTCGCAGGGCCTCAGCAGCAGCCGCCGGCCTGAGAACCCTGGAAACAAGTGGCCGGGAAGGGCGATTGCAGCTGAAAAGTGGTTGGGGAAGCTCCACGACTGGCCAATTGAGTTTCCGGGCTGCCGCGGTCAGGCTATGCGGACCATGCAGACGGTCGATAGCGGGCATTTGGGCCGTGGGCGAAACGACGATCTTCGTACCCAGCCCCAAGTCGGTGTTTTGTTTGTTGTATCCGTAACTTGACGAGCGTGTCAACAAGCTGCCAGATGTGACAGGCGACATACACAGAGCGTAGTTCGTAAGGTCGGGAGCATCAGCGCAATTCGCGACAGCCGTCAGCAATGCAGCTGGACGCATGGAGGCATTCGACACGGCCCATCGTTAGTGTTTGTTCGTCGCCTCATGCTCAAGAACACAGCCAATGAGTCCATAGACTGGCGCCTCTCGAACTTGTGGCGCCCATCACGGCGCCTGAGTGGGAATGTCTGTGGGCCATGGGATACCATAATAATTTGCAGATTCTGGCCGATTGTGAGAATCCGGGGTTCCCTCTTCCCGGCACCACAAGGTCCCAGTTTCTTCCTCTTCTCTGGTCCAGCCTCGGGTGTTTTGTCAGGGCCAGCTCAGCCAGCAAAGTTGGGGTTATTCTGTTGCTGATCGACCACGGCGCCTGTAATCTTGGTGTGAAGGGAAGGACCCAGAAACGAGCAGCCGAGGACGAAGCTGGTCGGCGGCGGTCGGGCCAGCAGCTCTAGCTTGTCCAGGGCGGTTGTCAATAATCAATGCTGGAAGGTCCACTGCTGGAGCTTGCGCAAGCGGGCGTCTTGGAGGTGCGATTACTGCCGACATTGCCTGGCACACTTTGCAGCGCTAGGGAAAGATGTGTGGGTGCGCATGTGTACCTAGTGCGTGGTGTGGGAGAGCCGAGCTCTGCTCTGTGGAAGCTTTGGTGCTGTGGTGGTCCATCGAGTCGGCAGCATCTCGCATGCAGTAGGATGACATTCCATCGCATGTGAATGACTCGAATAGTTATTGCTTGCATGAAGATGGGCCATTGAATCAATTGACCCCATATCGAAGTTGTCGGGCTGACAATTGAGGTGATTAGGCGCAGTGATTGAATGGTGAGACTTGGAAGAGAGAGCTTTTCGAGGTGAGGTGTGCGACATGTGCGGGCACGAGCAGTCAGAATCAGATGGGAAAGGAAGGACGGGAGGAATGAGACAGCGGGTACGGAGTACGTATCCGAGGTTCCTTCCATTAGCTCAGGTACGTAGCGTTGTACTGGTCGGTAAAGTACGTTTCCACCTCACCTCAAACAGTCGGGCAGGTCGCCATCGAAATGGAGAATGGGAAAGTGTGCAGTGGTGCCCGGTACCTGCTGCGCCGGAGCAAAACTGGTGCCTGACTTGGGTACCGTTGGCCTGGACACCTCAGATGCAAGGCGTTCAAGGCAACCAAGTACATACAGTAGTCGTGGCTTGTACCAATGTACACATTTCCAGGGCGTCAAAGCTTCGAGCTGCAGCTCCGAGCTTCTCCTTTCCAAGTTCACCCCATGTCAAATCTCCACTTCCCATCCCCCGGACTAGTCCTCTTCGGGGCGGAATAAACAAACGGAATATCCACTGCTGGTTTGATGCAGGAGACGGGAGCCAATGTCAACATTCCCTCACAACACACGGCGCACTTTGACCACCTCTCTTGCTGGGAATTACTCGTCTTTCTCACTATTATCCGTACCTTGCCATTTCTGCCATTCTGCAGGCATCTTCCTCATCTCTCACCCTCGCACACCATCCATCACAACTTGAACCCACATCAGACAGAACACAGACTCTCGGTTGGTCTCTCCTCTCCTCTCACATCTTTGGATATCTTTCTCGCAGAAAACGAGACACCCTCGATCTAATCCTGTCCAATCCAGATCATCCAACCCGCCTCCTCCGCATCCACTCCCAGCCGTCCATCCACTCACAAAGACACTGATCCCAGTCTCCAGTCCCACTTGGATCCAAGATACCAGTCCAGAGTCTCAAGAGGACACACTCGTACACTCACACACACACAACAGACAGTCAGACACACAACAGACACACACTCACAACATTTCACCCCTTGCCCCGGCAACCCTTCGCAACCCTCGTTTTCTGCAGGACTGCATTCGCTCGCCGCTTGCTCTGCTGCTCGGTCCAACCATCACCCCCCAAACCCCCCGTCTTCAAAACCCAATCCGCATCGCACATCTCCAACGACCCTCTTCTCCCTCCTTCTTCTCTCCTCTCCATCCATCTTCAAAGCTTCAATCGCCCTTTTTGCCCAACTTCACCCTTCTGTCGGCACACCCCCTTTCCTCCAAATCCAAAAGAGAAGAGAAAAGCAGAAGCGCGTGTCACTCGAACGACCGGCTTCTTCCACCTTTTTCTTCCCCTTTGTTTTTCTAGGAAAACGAAGCAAGAGGATACTCTTCTTTGCCTTCCTCACTTCAGGAACGCTTAGAAGATTCTCCTCTCTGCGCCCCCAGAGCCGCCAATCTGGATTTTGAAGCTCGTGTCCCCGTCCCCTTTAGCGTCTTTCCCTCCACCTACAAGGAGAGTGAGACACAAACCCAGACCCAAACAGTCACTCAGACACACCAAGAGCTTGAGATCAAACTTCCCGAGAAGAAGCCCAACAAGCCCGGACGGGAGGAAAGTCAATACTCTTCCTTCACCACCATCGCCGAGTCGAAGCCGCAGCCGCCGCAGCAGCAAAAGCCGCAGCAGCAGCAGCAGCCTCTTCCCCCTCGGAAAGAGCAGCACCGCTACGAAGAAGAGGTCCGCATCGAAGAACACTACCACCGTCCCGGTGTCCACTACGAGTCCCACAACTACCGTGAGGAGTACCGGTATGTTCGATCTTTCTCTATCTGTTCTCTGTTCCTCTCTATCTCTATGCCCAACCCTCTCTCTCTGCCTCTCTACCTGCGGCCGGATGTGCCCATCACAGCTTATGTATGGCATGGCATCGATCGATTCATCCAGCCCCCTCACTCCCGCTTCCCTCTTCCCATGCAACCTCAAAACAACACATACCCACTCGCGTCACTCCGGTCACCGCCCCTTCTCCTCCCCTTGGCAACCGTCTCTCACCTACCTACCCATCTTCCTCCTCCTTCCACACACCCCTACCTCTCCTCCCACTGGGCACCCCGGCTCGGGACCGCTTCAGCTCGGGCCCCGGTATTTCGCCAAATTTCCCTCCTTGCCCATTACGAGCCGCCAGTCATGGACCCTGGACGCCTCCTCCCGGCCCCCCTAGTCCCATGTTGGCCAAGTAACCACTTGTCACGTCAAATATGTCAACCGGAGCGAAAAAGCTTCCCCATCAAGCTCCCCCATCAAAACATCAACTGACTTCTCTCTTCTTTTCCTTCTATCCAGCCCTGCCCCTCCCGCTCCTGCTCCTGCTCCCTCTCAATACACCACTCAGCAAGAGTTCCACGACACTCGCATCCACCACCACGACACTCGCGTTGAGATCGACACCCGTCACCACGAGCACCTGGTAAACCCGATTGATAAAATCGAACGCCAGTACCGTCAACGCTTCCAGCCTACCTACCACAAGGAGGAAGTCACCGTCGAGACCTACCCGGCTCCTCACCACCACCACCACCACTCTCACTCCGACCACCACTCGGATCACCACTCCCACCACCAGCACTCCCACTTCGACGAGTACACCGTCGAGTCTGAGCGCCCCCGTCCTCAGCAGTACAAGGAAACCATCACGGTTACCGAAGAGACCATCGAGCCTACTCACGTCTCCAAGCCCCAACACAAGTCTTCCAAGATGGGTTACTACGACGAGGATGGTAAGTCGAGAAATCCCCCTCCCCAGTGCTCTGCTTGACCCCCTTTTGTGCGTGCGTGCGTGTGCTTGCTGGCTTGTCTGTCCGTCCAATGCTTGTTGGGCTTTGTGTGTGTGCGCGTGCGTGTGTTTTGGTTGCGCCGTTCGTCCCCCCAATCTATGGACCGACACTGAAGGGTGCTCGCACCACCAGGCCACTACCATTCTTTCCGTCAAGGCCTTCACAAGCTGGCGGACAAGATTGCTCACCCCCATCATCACCACCATCATCATCATGGTCATGCTGACCGTTACGAAGTCTCCGAGGTTCGCGCCGCTTCCGCCCCCCGCCGCCAGTCTTCCGGCTCTGGCTCCGGTGCCCCTCGCATTCCCAACACCGTCACCATCCCCTGCCACCACATCCGCCTCGGCGACTTCTTGATGCTCCAGGGCCGTCCCTGCCAGGTCATCAAGATCTCCACCTCCGCCGCCACCGGCCAGTACCGCTACCTCGGTGTCGACCTCTTCACCAAGCAGCTCCACGAGGAGTCCTCCTTCATCGCCAACCCCGCCCCCAGCGTCGTTGTCCAGACCATGCTCGGCCCCGTCTTCAAGCAGTACCGCGTCCTCGACCTCTCCGATGGTCACGTCACTGCCATGACCGAGACCGGCGACGTCAAGCAGGGCCTGCCCGTCATTGACCAGTCCGACCTCTGGTCCCGCCTCAACAACGCCTTCGAGTCCGGCCGTGGCTCCGTCCGCGTCCTTGTCCTCAACGATGCTGGCCGTGAGCTCGCCGTCGACGTCAAGGTCATCCACGGCTCCCGTCTGTAAGCGTATCACGCTATGTCAATGGTTTATCTAGCAAACATGTCATGTACGAATTACAGATGATCAGATGTAATGGAAGAAATTGAAGTCGATTTTTGGATAAAAACAGAACGGATAAAGGATCCAGGAGTCTTTTACGTAGATATGTAGCTCTGTATATGATCTGTAATCCATATGTTGGGTACTACACTATACTGTCTTCAATATGCTCCCTGTGATCTTTGTCATGCTCTGTGCTCTTGTTTTCGTTTCTCAAGAAGTGCCTTACTAAGTCTTACATATACCTGGTATAACCCAAGCTTAGCATGGCAGCTCCTAGCAGTACGTCACACCTCTGTCATACTTCTGACCAAGCCTTTGGGACGAGGAGTTGTGGTTGGAAGTGCGTGCTTGTCGTACAGCAAGGCATCTTCAGAGACATGCGCGAGTTGCTGCTCTCCCTCCTTACTGTCTCCCATCCAGTCATCAAGGGTACATGGACCGTACAGGCATCATTCGACCTCTCGATACACCACCTCATCATGAGAAGTACAGAAGTCCTTGTGACCGTCATTCACCGTCAAAGTCGTGGCGTCGTCACCTGTCAATCATCTCGGGAAATGCCTCCGTTGAACTTGCGAGTGTGGGAACTTTGCCTCTTTTTCAAGCCTATATCTATCCTGTGGCGGTAGGGGCTCGAGTTGTGGTGGATGGATGGATGTCTTCGTATTCATTGTCAGAAGGCGAGTGTCGAAGGACTGATGAGTTTATCGTGTGGTTGCACAGAGGTCTGGGGAAACCGCCACACATGGTTCCCCCACCCTCTTCAACCGGATCATCAATACTTTTGGATTTCATTAATCATTCCCTCTGATAGGGCGGTCTTATAGATCGTTGTATAGACAAAGAAGGAGATGAATACGAATCGTTGAGTGTTCAGTAAGTGATGCTATCAAGCTCAATGATCGTGAACTCATGATCAACAGAGTCATACCTACGGGGACACAACGAATGCTCAAAGAGTGTTAGAGTTTCCTGGATTATAAAAGATGCCATGTTTCTTTCCAAAATAGCCTCAGTATTCTTCAAAAACATCTCTGCACCCGGCAACGAAACTACCAAATCCCAAACGATAGTCATGGCTCCTAGTGATTTCAACACCCAGGTCCTTGCCGACCAGCCCTCCAAAATGATACAGGAATGCGACGAAGTGTTCAAATCCATCGTGAAGTATCCTGGCGAAATCCCTTATCACCTAGCGGGGATCATAGTCGACCATCTGTGGGTTCATTTTAGGAACTGGCTCAATAGGCACCTTAAGACGAACTGTGATCGACCTGAGCCTTTGTCCGGATTGAGAGCCATCGATGAGAGAATCTCAATGGGAGGTGAACGCGAGAAAACCAACTTCGTCCACGACCTGAAAGTTCTCTACCACTATCTCGAGAAAAGTACATCACCACACCAATCCTAATAGTAATGGTTTGGAATACTGACCGACCTAATCAAGTGGCATCAATACTCCTCCGTGGAGCTGAGAACCGGCTGAGGGGCGACGAAGCCACTCGAAAAGACCCCTTGCCGCTAGGCTCACCGATCGAGATAGACTACGACATCAGGCTGGGTCCACGATCTGACCTCGGCTGGTACATGTTCTTCGGTATTCCGATGCGCCTCCTGCTCCTCGAGTCCGCGTCTTTCGTGTTCTCCGAGAAGGATGATGAGGCAGCCGATGCTTACCTAGCGGAGACTGTGAGCAAAGGTGCCATAGAGGGTGGATTGATAAACCAGCATATTCACTGAATCATTCCTGCGAAAAGTTCGGTTCCCGGAAGTCCATGCATCCATCTTCCTTTTCTCCTTTGGTTCGGCAGAGAGAAGTGGATGGAACGATAGTCGCTGCTTTCTTAAGGAGGAGACAGCGATACCAACGGGCTTTTTTGAATCAGCTGCCAGGAAACCATCGTCGGCCTTGAGAAGTACGGTACGCAGGGCTTGGAGAAAGCAGTGGAACACTGGCAATTGCGAGGAATGCGACTATTGATTCTGGCTGGCTTACCTAGACCAGGCAGCTCCGGAATAGAATTCTTCACTTATCTCAGAATCAATCGTGGTATATGAACGTGTATGATGCGGGCTTCCCGATTACCTGTCTTCTTACGTATTCAACATCAGAGGTTTTCAAGGCCTACGCGATGGCCTCGCGTTTTTACTTGACGGCCAGTGTAGTTTCCCTCAACGGACAGGGAGGAATCGTTGAATCCGGCTACGCATATGTCATCGACGACTGGGAGTGGATAGAGCGTGGCGGAAACACTACTATATTTGTCATGGAGTAAGGGGAGACCAAGGGAGTCGGCGCACATGAGCTGGAAAGAAAAGCAAGAGAGGCATTGAACAAGGGAAGATTTGCCTCACGTCTATTTGGCTTTAGGATATCCTCTGGTGCGATTAGGAGCACTTCGGTACACTGTTAATATGTGAAATAGGGGGAAAGTTCGCATCTCCCTTCAGATACGGTTGGCGTACAATCATCATCCATCTCAGGTTGTTCATATTGGGTGATCATGTTTAGATCAACAAATCCTTCAGGCTTGTGACGCCCAGGTCTTCTTATTCTTCTCCGCGAAGTCACTAAATCGTGATGGGCGTTTCCCTATCAGCTCGACAACAACGCTGTTCATCCGGTCCTCACTCCCGTTTTTAATAGCCAAGTCTGCGTTGCCTAGCATCTCTGCAATATGCGTAGGAAGACCTTGTCGAACATAGTAATCCACAAGCTCGTCAACTGAGAGGTTCTTGTGCGTGATCTCGCGGCCGAGAGTTTTGGAAAGGACCTCGGCGATCTGTATAATATCGTTACTCCTACTGCGAGAAAGTCTAGTTAGACGACTGCACTTACATCGCCGTAGCTGAGTAGCTCGGGCCCAAGAATCAAATACTCGTCGTTTGGAGCACTCTTTTGGGTAAGTAGCTGGAAAGCACACGCAGCAATATCCTCTGTCGCAACCCAGGGAATCCTTCCGTCCCCGGTGGCAGAGTAGATAACACCTTCTTTCACAATAGAGCCGCGGTAGTTTTCTAATTCCGCAAAGTTCTCTGTCCAGTGATCAGCAATAGCACTTCCCCAGATCCTACCTAGGAATAGGCGCGCACTTACGTTGGAACCATGTCGGTCTGATCGCTGCCCATTCCATTTCGCCCTTCTCACCAAGTTGCTTTAGATAGGCATGAGGTCGACCCATCCCCTGACTATTGATATCCGGCTCGACTGGACTCCCGCTCAGCAGAACGAATCGCTTCACATGTCCCTTGAGTCGCGCCTGATCAATGAACAACTCCACCGGCGGCAAAGGACCCCCTGGTGGCGCCACCAGGAATACGCTCGTCGCGCCAACTTCCAGAACCGTGTTCCATGTCTTCTCATCGTCCCAGTCGAAGGCAATCGGTTTGATGTTCTCGGCACCCGCCTCTGTCGTCGTCGACCCTTTGCGGGAGGCTTGATAGACCTGAACTGGCGTCGCCGCAAAGAGCTTGGTGAGCTGGCGGCCAACTTTACCAGTTCCACCAATGATCAACACTATTTTCGGGCGATCTCTCTCCATTGCTGCGCTTGCCAGATTGCCGCTTGATATTTCTTAAACTGATTCCGATCATTGAGTATAACGAAAGAAAGGGAAGGGAAACTACATCGCTGTAAGTTGAACTGCTTCGATTACCTTACGGAGCTAAGAGTTAAAAGCCGCAACGGACTTAAGGCCCGACTAGACGTTACGACCCGTCTGAAGATGACAGTCAACAGACCCACTCGGACGCAAGACGTTTGTGTTGTTTGACTAATTCTGTACAGTTTGGTTTTGACCGCATCAGTCAATAGCTTTCCCCGGATAGCAAGATTCAGCTTAAGGTCACATCTGTTGGCAGCGCTTGCCAAGCGGCACCACAACCTTCTGGTATGCGACATGTCCTTCAGCAAGGCTAGGTGTGCCTGTGATCATCACCGCCACCATGATCAGAACTCACTTAGTCTCGAGATTCCTGGGATAAAGCCTCACTGAGCTCACCAGAGGCGACCCTCAAAGACTTGCATGGGGCCTCTCCCATCGATGGGGACTAAACCAAGGCATCGATATGCCGTGATCTTTGGACACAGGCCTTGGCACATCTACCCTTCTCAGACCCCCAACCCATGATCTCCGTCGATGTCGCTCCGACGAACATTCGAAAGCGCAGTTGTTCTTTGATTTATCTATTTGAACCCTCATCTACCTCGCGTGATGACGTCGTATGCCCAGATCCGGATCGATGGTATTTTGGAGGTAGATGGATTATTTGCTGGCGCAACATCGTGAGTGCTCAACTATTGCAATCTGAAAGCGCCATGTACTCGAAGTTTGTGAGTCCTTGAGAAATCCACAAGAATGCCTGTTGAAAAATCATACTTGGTGCCATTATGTAACGGAGAGCAACCGGGCCTACGATCCGTCGCCTTCATGACTTCCAGGTTCGTGTGCTCCATACCTTAGCGAAAGACAATGAACAGGCAACCTTGTTCGCCTCCCGAACTCGGGAAAAATTAGATGAATCATGGAATTGACATCAAGGTGAACCATGTCACCCTCACCATCAGCAACACTAGCCCAATGAGAGCTATACCTCACTGACCTCTTCCAGCTACTTCAGGTGAGGCTTCCATCGCGATCACATCTGTCAATGGCGGTTTTACCGCCGCGTAGATACCACGCCCTTTCCTTGGAGCCTCTGTTCAAGCTCGTATTGAATATATCCTTCGTGTTTAAAGAATCGATTGCGAGACGCGTGCCACATCTTCGTCATTGGTGACACTTCAGAGAATTGCTGTTAAGTAGCAATTTTCTGACCGGTCACACGCACCTTAGCATAGTGTATTGGTGCCATCAAGATTCTCTCAAAATCGAATTCTGTTTTTGTCTTCGTGCCTGCTGTGGCCCGGGCCCTTGGTTGTACCACATTATTGAAAGGACTGGGTAAACCGCCACACGCAATCCCGCGTCAATTCAGAACCTGGACGTAGGCTCATGTGAATTACACCAATGTTCAGACGGATCAAGCTGTTTATCAGCTAGACAAAGGTGAGGAGACGTTTGAATCGGCGACATTTCAGCAGGTGCTGTTACGCTGAACCATCGCGGGCTCGTGAAGGTATTAGTCGGCTATAGGCATTGGCTAAAGGCTTCCTCTTTGTACCGAAAGCCAAAGAAACGAAGAAACGATAGAACGCTGTACTCACCTCAAATATATAAGATTCATGCTCATCTTGCTCTTCCTTAATACTATAGCTGATGACTTCTCAAAAAATATCTCTCTCAGGAATATCTCTGTAGCCGCACGACATCGAGACCAAAGCGGACGACAATCATGGATGCTGATTCCATCAGAGACCGGGTTCTTCCCAAGAATACCAATGCTCCATCATTCAAGGTGAAGCTTTGTGACAGCGCTCTTAGACGACTCGTGCTCTGGATGAACGACGACGTCCATAAGGAGTCCATGACTCGGCTCAGGAGTCTGTGGGAGGAGTGGAGGGCGTGGGTCTGCAAACTCTTCGATCGCGAATTTTCTTCGAAGTTGACGGACTCTTTGGATGGGGGAGCTGCTTTCGATCTCAAGGTGTCAGAGAGAATCAGCGAGAGAGATATGTTCGTCCTGGACATGGAGAATCTTTACAGCTCCATCGACGTGGGTAAGTTACCGTATCAACCCGATCTCAATCGTTCAGAACCCTAACTGATCTGATAAAGTGAGAAGAATGCTCATCGAATCAGGTCCCAACAGAATGAGGGATCCTAAAGCAACTTACAAAGATCCCCTGGTTGTCAATCAGAAGACTATAAGAGAGGAAGACAAGACAATCGGTCCAAGGTCAGATCTTGGTTATTACCTAACCTTCGCTATTCCGGCCCGTCTTCTTCTCGTTCAGTCAGCGGCTGCCAGATTCTCCAACGACGATAAACAAGACGATGCCGACTTAGCCCTGGTTCTGTCTCAGAAGAACATTGAACGCCAATTAGTTACATGCTTATTTTAAGGCATTCCTGCGAGATACGGAATCCCCATGCTCAAGCCTTCTCTTTCCAGTTGGTAAGCAGGGGCAAGTAGAAGTGAATCTACTTTCGGCATCGCTGACTGTCGTCACATAATATTGGTATCATATCGACTCTGAGAGAACACAAGACGGTCCTATCGAAAAGGCTGCGAAGAAATCGACATCGGCCTAGAGACAACCGCTGCATGTGCAAATTCGGCACCACAGGGCTCACGTGAAGTAGTTCGCGGACGTCAAGCGGTTACGGGAAATGTGACAATTTTCGACTGGGTCATTAATCACAGGTGGTTCTGGGCAAATCTCATCAGTCAAATGGCTTCTATCCTGGTATTCGAAGATGTTTCCATCATTCCTATGGTTCTCAATGTTTTTTCTCTCCGCGTATAGCATATTTGATTAAACTCCCCAGAAAGAAAGACCAGGAAACCCCAAGAGAAATTCAAAAAAAAAAAAAAAGATAGAAAAAAAAGAAGAAAAAAAATCATTATTGTTATTAAATCGTTCTTCAATTTGACTGTGAAGTTTAGCTACTTACATTGAATGCGTGCTACTGCTAGCCAAGCCTACTACTACTATGACTGTGGTCCCGCGGCCATAAAGGTATCATAGAAGTATCCCCAGCATCGCCGGCAAGGAATAAGTACTAACATCGAAGCCGAAGTAGACTGGGAAAGTCCCGCTGACTCTTAGTACGAATGTGTCCTTGCGCCCCTGAGATCTTCGCAATCGTGAGATACCTATACCCATAGGGCACCGTTGCATATGACTGCAGACATCTGCAATTCCGACCGCCAACGTCGTACTGGGATCCTGGGTCGAAGCACAAAGGATTGGGAGAACCGCCGCAGACGATCTCAAATAAGCGTTTCGCTTACGTCGGTAGACTTGTGACGTCTTGCCTTGCTCAGTACAATGCTTGGTCGACAAAGAGAAAGAAGAGAATGGATCGCCAGGTGACCAGTATGTGCGTTCAAGCTCGATCGTCATAGGCGCGACGAGTCGGGTCGGCTGAGGGCATTCGCTGAACATGCCTCTTTGTCCTGAATGTCTATGGGTGAAGCAACGAGATGAATCTCTCCTGTTCTAGGATATAAAAGGGTTCATTTTTCCTTCCCAAGTACTACGCCTCGTCACTCACCACCAACGTTTCTACAATGGCGGCATTTCCTGTCGCGACCCAATTCATCCTCCAGCAACATGAAAACACGTCAGGACCTCCTGATCCCGTCGGCCCCGCGACAGATGATCGTCTAATAGGTTGCCGGACAGTTATCAGTGAAATATCCGGCCTCTTAGAAAACACTGCTTCTCCGCTCGGCAATGAAACCCTGAGGAAGGCGTTTGAGACGCTGAAATCCCATTTCGAAAGCCGCTGCGATACACTCGAGGATGCGAGGCTGAATCGAATCAAAGTTGATTTGGAGAAAGGTGATAGATTGCAGTATTCAAACTATGCAGTGTGGAAAAGACGACTGACTGCGGTATAGTGAGAGACATACTCAGTGAAAAGGCCCGTAACAGGGAAACGGCAGACTCAAATCAAGACCAAGACCGATCAGAGCTTGATGCATCGCTTCGAAATATCGAAAGAAACGTCAATGAGAACCCAGGCCACTCTAAGTCCCTCGCCGAGAGGGGCGTGACCTTCAAAGAAGGCACACATGTCAACTACTCGGAGTTCAGTGCCTGAATCGCCCCCGCGGAAACGAACATGGCATGTTTGCCTAGGGAAGGACTGCTGCAAACCATAACGCGTGGAGGCTGGGAGGAAAGAATAGACGCAAAAATTAGCGACTACGAAGAATACGGTGCTTTGGTTCAGGAGGTTCCCGGACAGATTTATTACCAAGGTAGCTCACCTCATCGCTCATTGAACACATAACTATCAATATCAAGCTCAAAAAAAACAAGAAAGGAAGAAAAATAGCAGTATAAAATTTGAGAAAATAAAGCATGATTATCATAAAATATGTCTCTCTCAGGAGAAGGAGACGCATCGAGATATGATACTGAAGACCGAATGCAGGAAAGCGCTCGCGAAACGGGATATTTCATCCTGCGGATATCTTCTGAGCACTCGAGCATCATTTTTATCTAGCAAGTTCTCCATAGACTACATGAGTGAGGCGTATACAGATAGAATTATCTGTACCCAGCGCCCTTGGGGAGAGATTCCGCGCATCTTTAGGTGTTCACCCTATGAATAGTCACTGCGACCATGGTTCAGGGACTTGCAGCCCTCTCCCAATCATGCAGGTCAAGATGCTCTATCATGTTGACAGAGGGTCGAGCTTTAAACTTCAGCCATACCTTGCCATCTCCCTATCGGATGCTTCTCTTCCGGGTAACTTAGGAGTAAGGCATTGAATGAGCGTGCTCGCGACACAATACGGCGCCCCATGTATTCATGAGCGATTGAAAGTACGGAGTAGCGCGCACTAGACTCTTGCATCATGCATTATTATTCGCGAAAATCATGTCGTGACAACAGCACGCCTGAAGCTTTCGCGAAAGCAACCCACAAAGACCCGGCCGGTTATAGCTTTTGGACCCTCTTTTCCCGACCCGAGCCTGGACCTCCCGTGCAGGGTGGGGTCCCGGGTCGCGGCATATAGATTTGGCTTACCCCGTCTCTCATGCTCTTTGCTTTTGTCTTTTATCTGCCTCCTAACCCTACAACAAGAAGCGTCTGATTTGGGATATTCTTCTAGTTGTACGTGCCAACGATGTCAAAATTGACATGGCACCCAGTGTCTAAGGTACTCGTCGCCGGCTCTGGAGAGCGGAAGGGCCTAAGCATAAGGCAAGGTAGTAGCTGGTAGCTCGCAGCTGAAGACGAGTGAGTAAACATAACGCTTAAATCAGAAATTCCTCCTTTGAAAATTGCAGAGCAACATCGCATGCAAGTATAATAACCCCCGTTGATGCTTTCTGGAAATTCTACGGAGGGCATTACGAGGAGCACTACCTTCAGCGCGGCAAGAGACCGCGCAAGTTCATTTAAGTACTGTAGGTGCCGATGCCTGTCGTCACGACTAGAAAGCGCCATACAACTACTTGCCGCTTTGAGTGAACTGGGAAGAATTTCTCGGCATATGTATGGCCACGACGGTGATTCTCCGGCTCGGCGTAGCCCTCCCGGCTCATATCGGGCCTAGGCCTGGGGGTTCATCGGGACGGTCCCTGTAGCGAGCCCCACCCAACACCGAAAGGGCCGCTGAGAGCGATGCTAAAGATGTGCCCATAGGTATCAAGGCATAATTCCCACAGATGCGGTTTTCCATAGATTTCTTTGAGAAGGGCCAAAACACGCTTTCGCTTTGGACGTTAGGGGTGTCCAGCATTCAAACACCACAGACCTCACCTCCCCTCCTTTCCACTGAACAGGTGCCTAAGAACTTATCTTTCATGAGGTGCACCCCTAGTACCCACTGGGTCAGCCTCCATGGCCTCTTTCTGTTGTAAGACTGTAAACGAGAAGCAGAGACAGTGATTCGAATGTGTCTTCGGGCCGATGGTTTGCATATACCAGGAGGAAACTCCTATGATGTTCTTGGTTTCTTTATCGCGTGCTTGTGACAGTGCCACATGACGTTCAGATTCAAATCATCAGGTACACCACCAGCCGTCCCCTCAATCGTGTACCCGCATCTGTTCGACTGCATCCCACTGAGTCACCAACTCTGGAGCAATGACTTTGAGGAAACTACGCCTCGATTTTCGTCATACTCTTGACCTCTTGAACAGTGAACGTTGGCCCTTGGTTGAAGGACAAAGGATTAGGAAACCGCCACAGGCGGCTCTGGCCAGTGCAAGGATGTTTTGAGATTCGACCAATTTCCAAAAGACTGAACGTACACATACCTAGGTAGACAAAGGATAAGAATAAAAGTTCGGTTAGTTGAGGGTTCAGTCTGTTCTATCGGTGCTGCCACCTTGCTGCCAGGTTCATACAGTCTCTTTGTGTGAAGCATCTCCAGGCCGATGCAATGAGGAGGGCTTCTGGCCTACTTATAAGCCACTCTTGCTTCCTTCGCATCTGGCCCGACCCATTTACACGTATTTTAAAAGTTCAACTATCGTCTTCGTTTCATATTCACGGCGAGTATGGGTCAGGAGAGACCGATTGACTCGGTAACAAAACTAGTGGAAGAATGCGAGCAGTTTCATACCATATACAAGCTCAGAAAGGGCTTCGTAGCAGTTCTCGAAGTTGGATTTACGGCTGGGACTCAGATTGAATCCTGGCCGGCGATCCAAAAGAGAATCAAGATATGGCGAGAAAGGGGGCTACTACATGTAGGTTCATTCAGACCCAAGGTAGAAGATGCACTTAAAGCGTTGGAGCTTTTTGCATCAATCCTCCGAAAAGGTGAGTCTTTAGCACTTCCAAAGTCACCAGCTTACAGAAGTGCTGATCTGAGTAAAATAGTGTTTAATGAGCTCCTAAAACTTGGGCCCCACGACCCCGCACCGCAGAAGACGATTGAAGAGTCGAAAAAGCTTGTGGGTGCTGGGGACTATCTTCTGAAATTATTTCCCTCTTCCAATTCAGAAGAGAATGACCTCCTGACCAATTTTGAACGTCAACTTGTCCTATACTCTCGCAACGACCAAGTCTCCGAAGACTGATTCGCCATCTCGATCTACTTGGGAAATGATCACTGCATCCAATATCCCAACACAACTAGGCTTAAAGAAGGTGATTCGTAACTCAGAGTTGCGGTGCTTGTTCAGCTCGTCACATAGCTCGTCACACTGTGGTCGCGGCCTGGATGGAGTATGTCAAAGTCAGCGAAGGGACTCCCCGGGTGGCCAACTTCGATGGCGGTCAGCCACCTAACATCAAGGCATGTCTACTTCAACACCTTATATCGACCGTACGCTCTCATTATTACCCCGCAAATAATTAATGCTTGGTATCCAAGATTGAATGCGTATGCTTTACGGATAATTACGGCCGGTCAAGTAGAAAATAAAAGGTAACCACAGTTATAACCCCATAAGTGCCTTATCATTTCAAAGTGCGTGAGGCGATTAGTGACTGTAAGGTAGTTTGATCTGTGGGTAAGTAGTTGAGACAACGACTAATGAGACAGGACGAAGAATTCCCGTGATCATCTCAGCAAACGTAAAGAAAACACACTGGCGGAGTCGAGATTTCTCGCATCGACAAACGAGCTCTCTCCGAGACTGTAGCTGGGGCCGGGTATAGAGGCGCAAGTTGCCCGCGTATCCATGGATCCTGGCGCAGTGGACACACTCGAGCTTTATCCGAGGAGAGGAAGCGAATCAACATCAAGATTACCTCGTATGTCAACATTGTAATGAAATCCGCGGTCGTTGTCGATATCGAAGAGCAGAAGGAGGTCGAGATGCTCAAAGCAAGCTAGCAGATCGCTTATAAGTAAAGGCAGAGCCCTTGGTGGCGAATCTACAGTTCGTAACCGTTGAGAAACGTGAAATATAAGGATAAGAAGACCTGGGCAGAATTCTAAGGAGCACTGCCATGAGCTCGGCAAAAGACCATACGAATTCCTTGGAGGAGTATTCCAAGGCATATATGGACGAAAGAGAGGTCTAAGACGACTAACTACGCTCTGAGTCAAATGACGAAGAGATCATTTGCGAAATAATGGTCGCGGCAGTAGTTTATGAATTCAACTTAGTTCTTGAGGCTTATGCCTGAGCCGGGCCCGGAGACATAGGTTTCCCGGGATAAGCGGCGCGCCTTGCCCGATCCACAGTCAAAGAGGCTTGACGATGGGGACAGCGGGAGAGATTCTGATTCCGCATAACGATCCTTATAATCAACTTTGGCCGGAGTATATATTTGAGAAGCACCAGAGCGCGCTTTGGCTTGATGTATTCGAGTTGGTCGGGGATCAACCACCCTAGGTCTCCCCTCTTACCCTCAAAGTAATGGATCTAAGTACCTTAACTCAAAGTAACCTACTATTAGCTGAGATGAATGGAATTCTAGTAGCAATGGCCAGTTTCGACAGCCTCTACCTTATCTCATGCTGGAAATCCCAACAGGAAGCAGGCCCAGTGACTGGCTATGACTTTCGGAGACGATGGTCTCCTTACTCCAAGGAAGCTTCCATGGTCTTCCGTGCTTCGTGGCCCACTTCTGCATCTTCTGTATCTTCAGTCGCCACATATCATTCACGCTCGGAGAATCAGGAACCACCACCAACCACCTTCTCGCCCCCTCGGCCGTCTGCCAGCATCTGTTCAGATTCATTTGATTGATTTACTAGACCTAGAGCCACTCTTCCTAAGGAAGGACCGTTTCAATAGTCGTCGTTCTTGCTACCGGACAGTGAAATTTGATCTCTGATGAAGTACAAGGGATCAGTAAACCGCCCCTGAGGTCACTGGCAAACACAAACACACACTATCCTTGAAGTTGACAAACCATCAGATGACTGAACATAACACTACATGGACATAAAGGGGGACGAAAGTGGTTCGATGAACAATCAGCAGGTGCTATCAGGCTCGTCTATCTCAGATTATGACGAGAGGAGCTGGTAGACAGCTTAAGGACGGCGCCAACCTGGTGAACAGATTTCTTTGTGCCAAGTATGTCTAGACCAAAGCAATGAGGGTGAGCTCTGGTGTAGAGGCCTATTTATAAGTTAAATTCCCTCATCAATCAGCTTGGCTGACTTCCACGAAAAAAAGCTATCGAAATCATTTGCTTCCACAATCATGGCGTCTAATCAACAGAAACAACCTCTTACCGACGCCCAAACTCTGATGAGTCAATGCGATACAATCATTGACGCAACCCTGAGCTTCCTCGAAGCAGAGAAACAGAAAGTTTACAAGAATATCAATGTTAAGAGCTTGGAGAACGATCTTGTGACTCAGAAAATCTTGTTCGGATTTTGCAAAACTGCATACGAAGAACGACGAGCAGGCTCACGCAACTCTAACGAAGATAATGTACTGAAAATGTTGGAACCCGTCAAGGTCAGTCTCAAGAAAGGTGAGTCATCGCAACTTGGAACGTCTCTAGCATGATATCAGCAGATGCTGATGCGAGTCATACAGTGCAAGGCGAGCTCAGGGCACTCTTGCAGACAGACGAAGACGGCGCGCTCGAGGAGGCAGAAGAAAAAACAGAAGTAGCGTTCGATGAGCTTGCTGGTAGCGTTGAGAAATTGAGAGACATACTTCCCTCTCCCTAGTTATGAGGGATTATCGGCTCGCAACAAGAACTGTCAGGTTTGCAGTTAAACAGTCTTTGAAATGGGTCGGGTTTCGAAGGTATGGCAGCGCTTGTTCGACTGATTTGACGGTGCTCATGACCTGAGCGGGGTATGCTGGATGCCTGGGGGGTTCTGGGGGAGGCCAATGTTTGTGGCGATCAGAATCATTCCATTGAGTCATGTTTTTTTGTTTTCTACACATATATTATCACTGGTCTACTGGTAGTGCTGCTTCTGAATATGTTTCCTGCTTGTCGTTACCTTGGTCAAAAGACCCCAGGTTGACTAGCCAGTATTTAAGTAAGGTTCAAACGAAAACAAAATCATCAATATAAAGCGCAAAGAAAACTGAATTCTAGACTTTGATCTGTGTTAATGTAGGAAGGGATTCTTTTAATAGAATGACATGAGTTGTAGACGATCTTCTCAGCAAACGATCATTACGGTCACTCCGAACCGCTCTCCAGTCCCTTTCTAGGTCATGCAATAGGAGTAAATGTAATGGAAAATGTCTCGGCTTTGAGATTATAAGGTATAGACTTCCTCATATCGAGACATGAGTCACCCCAATGACGATAGCTGTGGCCAAGTGCTGAGTCGCATTTTGCCTAGATAAAAGCATCCATGGCTCTCAGTGATGTCGCCACGTTCCATGTCTCTCGGACTAAAAGAACAGGACTAATTTCAATATCGCGGCCTTCCACAAACACCTCGTCAGAGAGACTTGACTGCTGAGACAGACGTAGTTGTTTACCACAGCGTGAATTCCATCCTTCTGCTCCTCCGCCGTGCTTTCTTGACCATCGCGTTAGGAGATATAGTTCTTCCTACAGAAAAGACATCTCATGCTCTACCTCCGTCAAAGTCCCAAGTCCTGTTCTATGCTAACCTTACTCGTCTCCTTACAGCTACCATATACCTTCCTCCGCACTCTCTGGCCGACTGGAGCCTAATACTTTGATGCGTGGATGAAGTCCGGCTCAAAGGGCAGTACATAAGATGCATCGAAGGATCAACAGCTCATGTTCAACGCAAGCTTCCAGTCATGATAGCTGCCTCAAACGACACCGTATATCGGCCCCGCTTTTGCCGGTCCTCTCCCGGACCTCCCGCATCAGTGGACCCTCCGTATCGCCGCGCACGAATCTGGACTCGATTGCGGTGCTGGGCTTATCTCCCACGCGTTTCCTGTTCGAGCCTGAACTGTTTCCCGACTTTGTAGAAGTGCAATTGCTGCCTCCCGTCTTTTACGTGTCTGAGGCTATTGGTACGCCAAATTTGAGGTAGCACCTCTCAATCATCGGGAAAAGGGAGTAGGTCAAGATATCCCCTTCGAAAAACAAGCCCAACAGAATTCGGAAGCAACCGATGCTCATCTGGAAATCAGATCCCATAGGCGATAACTACCTTGCAACAAAGATGCACACGTAAACTAGCGTTTCTGCACTTGACAATCGTGGATCCCTATGGCGTGCTTCCGCATCATCGTCGCCATCACTCAAAAACTCATAATCCTAAATAACACGACAAACAACCCAATCAGTCCCCTCAAGCCCACCTCATCATGTGGTCCTCTCTCCGACATTCCGTATCAGAGTAAGCACCTTGATGGTTCCTCATTCCCCCGGCCTGAGAGTGCGTGACTCTCCAATCGCTCCCTCGTGGGCACCTGATCCCTGTCGACCCAACCCCAAAGTTCCCCAAATTCTCGTTGCTGTATGGCTGGATTTCCCCCATGAAGCACGTTAGAGCAATCGCCGACCCCTCCATCCCTTCTCGGACTCGACTCCAACTGATAAGAGAAAGAGTGAGACAGAGAAGAGAGACGCGCAAGTGCAGGCACCACACACCCAACTTTACCCCAGGAAGCTTGTTCATGACCTTCCCTACCTAGATAACTAGCAAGCACAAGCGAAGCAACCCGGAGAGACAACTATACCCCCTTCTCTGTGGCATTTGCTCGGTATCAGGCGGATCGGAACGAAGGATGGTTGGTGTGAGGGGTCGCGGGGGTTTCTAGTCTACGACTCGTGTTACCGGTTCCTTTGTCTTAAATACCACGACCTCACCCCGGCCTTCTTCATCGGGAGCTAGATCTAAATCTCAGCTTCCGTCTTACCTCCTAAGCTTTGTGACCACTAACGATTGCGTGATCGTATTTCTCTTCTGCAACAATAGGCGTCGACATCCGTGACGTCCCGTCATTTTACCGCGCTCAGCTTCCCTTACATTACTTGTGAGGTAGCTTCACATTCGGCTTCAAGCTCAACCACAACCACAACCTCAACTACGACCTGGTGGGCAACACAAGATAGAGTAGCCAAAATGGGTTCCCAAGCATCCAAACCCGCCGTCGACGCCTCCAACGAAAAGGCCCTCCTCGAGCGCCTCCGCCGCTTCCAAGTAACCGACGACGACTTCGTCAACGTCGCCTCCAGCAGCAGCGATGACGAGAAGCGAGACATCAGACTCGTCCGCGAGCCAGAGGGCCTGCCCGTCCAACAAACGCAGTCCTGGCAGTCGAGGTTCCTCGCCGACCCAAAGAACAAGTACACACTCACCAAGCCCCATTCTCCACGATAAGGTATCTCAGAACACAAAAAAGCTAACTCATGGTCTTCCATAGACTCGCCCTCACGGCCCTGAGCACAGCAGACCCCCGCACAGTCCTAACCTCAACAGCAACCAAGCTCGCCGACCCCCAAATCTTCAACACCCGCATCCCCTTTGAAGGCGGTCCCATCACGAACCAGCGCTCCTCGGGCCGCTGCTGGCTCTTCGCCTCCACGAACGTCTTCCGCGTCGCCCTCATGCGCCGCTACGCCCTCGACTCGTTCGAGCTCTCCCAGTCCTACCTCTTCTTCTGGGACAAGCTCGAGAAGAGCAACTACTTTCTCGAGCAGATCATCGACACCGCCGCCGCCGGCGAAGACCTCGACGGACGCCTCGTCCAGGCTCTGCTGGGTGACATCGTGAGCGACGGCGGGCAGTGGGACATGGTCTACAACCTCGTCCAGAAGTACGGCCTCGTCCCGCAGGCGCTGTACCCGGACTCGTGGAACGCCATGAACTCTGGCGTGCTCAACTCCATCGTCAAGACGAAGCTCCGCGAATACGCCCTCGTCCTCCGCAAGCTCGTCCAATCCTCCCCGTCAACCACAGCAGAGACCCTCACGGCGACAAAAGAGAAAATGATGCGCGAGATCCTCTCCATCCTCACCCTCGCCCTCGGCCCGCCCCCCAACCCCCGCGACGAATTCACCTGGACCTACCTCGACAAATCCTCCAAACCGCACACCCTCAAAACAACGCCCCAGGCCTTCGCCCGCGACATCTACTCTCCCGATCTACGCATCACCTCCTCCGTAATCGACTCCATGGTCTCCCTCGTCCACGACCCGCGCCACGAACCCCTCACCCTCCTGACCGTCGACCGCCTCGGCAACATCGTAGGCGGCCGCGGCGTAACCTACGTAAACGTCTCCATGCCCACCCTCAAATCCGCCTGCGTAGCCATGATCAAAGCAGGCCTCCCCGTATTCTTCGGCTCCGACGTCGGGAAGTTCAGCAACTCCGCCGCGGGGGTGATGGACCTCGACCTCATCGACTACGAGCTCGGCTTCAACGTCTCCCTGCTGGGCATGGATAAGGCCAGCCGCCTCCGGACGGGCGAGAGCGCCATGACGCACGCCATGGTCCTGACTGCCGTGCACATCGACGAGGAGACCGGCGAGAGCGTGCGGTGGAGGGTGCAGAATAGCTGGGGCGAGAGCGCGGGCGATAAGGGATGGTTCGTCATGAGCGACGCGTGGATGGATGAGTTTGTCTACCAGGCTGTTGTTGATCCGCGGTTCCTGAGCAAGGAGGTCCGCGGGGTTATTGGGACTGAGCCGACTGTGCTGCCGCTGTGGGATCCCATGGGAAGTTTGGCGTAGAGATCTGGTTAGATCCCGCGTGTGCCGTGTTAGATAGGGCCGAGGGGGGGGGGGGGGGGGGGGGGGGGGGGGGGGGGGGTGTTGGGGGGGGGGGGGGGGGGGGGGGGGGGTGGGGGTGGGGGGGGGGGGGGGGGGGGGGGGTGGGGGTGGGGGGGGGGGGGGGTGGGGGGGGGGGGGGGGGGGGGGGGGGGGGGGTGATGAGATTGGTGGATGGCGTATTCATCCACTCCCCGTTTTCTTCTGGGGTTGATGCAGACGATGGTCTAGATTCTTTTACGTACTCAGCAGGACAGCGTGTCTATTTACTCGTTTCGAAACATCAACTCACCCGAAGCCAGTCTCAAAAGATGTGCACGCCATCACTTCCATCCGCGGCCGTGGTTTTGACAGCTTTTGCCCACGGGATAACCCAGCATGGGAATGGAGACTCTTTTGGGTCCGGCGCCATCAACGGTCGTCTAGCTCAATCCGGACCGGCGTCAGACCAACGACGCACGAAGTGGACAATGTGGACTACGCCAACTCATCATTAATCAACTTCAGTCAGAGTTCCCGTCGACCTGTACGGAGTACTCCTGCTCCATCTCTAGCTCTAGTCAACGTCAACATACGCGCCCCCGCACACCGTCTCCGGGACGGACACAGCCTGAAGACCCGGACACCTTCCCCGGAGCGGTCGACCACGAACCCCGGGTTATTATCCCGCTTCACCACAGGCTTTCTTGGCCAACCCCACTTCGCTTCACCAAGAACAGTTTCGTCCGGGTGTCCGGGACAAAGGGTCCATTCAGTAAAGTAAGCAGCCGCACAGGCTATACACTTTTGTGTCTTCCCCGGCCCGCGAAAGTTATCTTCCAAGGCCGGACGCCTTCTGTATACTTTGGTTCGGCGGGTTGTTGGCCTCAAAAAGGACAAAAGTGAGGCGAAGGAGGGTCCCGGCTGCGGGCCCTTGCGTACGAGCAGAGTTTTTGTCCGTATTTGGCGCCATCTTCGGCAATTGCTGAGTTTGCTGCTACTTGTCACAAACCTACCGCATCCTGCCATTTACTTTGAGGCATACTCTTGAGAACAGAAGATGTGTTCTGATGAGATGACGAGAGATGGTAGAGAGGCGAAGCTAAGCCGCATAGTCCATCTGTTTGCGCCTTGTCTAAGCCTTTCGTGAACTAGATCAAAAGCTGGTCGACAATATCGAGCCCAATCACGGCACGTGGAAGAACGGACTACGCTTGGATGAGAACTAGTTCCATCACGCATGGCCAAGTGCCGCTTGAGGGCACATTAGTGCTCAGGTCGACTATTCACTGTAGTCGGTGTCGTTGCCTGTCTTGCTAGGCAATGCAGCTCCCGGGGCATTGACTTGGTTAGAAGCGCCAACGATATATAGAGCGCCATTATCTGCGTGACTGGTCAGCACGCTCAGCCGCACAGTCGCCAGCTCAGGTTTAATCTACGGAGGCTACATGGCCTCAATTCAGATGACGTTACGGTGTTTTCTTGGCACTGTAGTGAACCACGTGGGAAACAGACCATTCCAAACCTCATCGACCTGCCCGTGGAGAGCTCAGCGTGAATTTTGTGTCTGCTACATGCATCTTCCAAGCTTCGTGGAGAGCATCATCTCGTATCAAACTCGCGCACGTAGCACATCAAGGTCCGCCATCGTCGACCGATCTGGATGAAACGTTGCGAGATCGAGATGCGAGAATAAGCATCTCAGAGTTTTCTTTCCTTCACCGAGACGACGGTCTCCGGAGGCTAGAACAGGTCACTCGTGGGTCAATAAAGCGGAACGGCCTGAAATGAACAGCAAATGCCCTTGAGACGGATGTGCCCGACATTGGTCGGGCGTGAACCCAACGGCGCTGTTTGGTGGCTTGGGATTGTCAGGACGGGGGAATCCCCGTCTTGGGCTTCGCCGGAACGGACGTTGTTGGCGGGTCTCCGGGACTGCCCCTGTCCAAGTGTCAACGTTGTCTGACGGGGACCACAGCAGACGAGAGTAAAAGCTTCTCCAGAGGAATTAGTGTCCAGAGCGAAATGGTCTCCATGGTTGTTCACCGAAGGAACGCGTTGAACAGGTGGGTAAGTCAAGCCAATTGGCAAGGCCAATGAATAGTACACCGTCAACGACAGGCCTGCTAGGATCATGTCTTTCGGCAGGGCTGTTTGGCGAAGCAACTGAAATGGGATGCTCCTTGTCTGAACGGAAGAAAACCGGGGGAGAGTATCGCCGTTGCCTCTTTTTGGTCGTCGGCGTGGCTGTCAAGACAGCCATCCCTTGTGTTGAGTATCGTTCGTCGCCTTTCACAGGTAAGGCAGCCTGGGGGACGTTGCACCTGTTGCCTTCTTCCATGCGTTTGCGGCTTGCCTCTGCAAGAAACGCCGCAACCTGCGAGTGAGGGAAATACTGCGACAACAGCCGGGTGTCGCCAGAGCATAGCGGTGAGCAAGCAACGGAGACATGTCGAGTTGCATCGCATCTTTGGGGCTCAAAGATCAGCCCCATTGACCCCACGCGGCAGTTGCGGTTTGTAAATGCAGAAAGGCCCAAGGAGGATCGAGTCGGGGCGGGCAGACGCAAGTCATTGCTTGTTTGGTAGTATGCTTTGCGCTGTGGCGTGGCCTTTGTATGCAGATAATATGGGTATGCGCCTTGCAGAAAGGCGAGATGCTGCAGATGTAGTCCGATGGAGAGGGAAGGGCGAAGTCAGGTTTCGGTGGCGGCATCTGACCAGCCAAGGTGTTGACGAGAAGTTGAGGTGGGTTGAAAGTGTGTGAGGTGGTGCGGGGTGGTCTGCCGTCGGCCGCTGTATTCCGTCGGCATCGCCCAGTCAATAATGGTAGTGATATCCATACTTCCGAACGCCTAGTGTCGTATGGTGTTGAACTCAAGCCCGGGGGACGGCGGCGCGGAGAGGAATCCAGAGTTTTCGACACGTCCCATAGTTGGGCTTGGTGCTTGGCGGTTGCATTGTCGACGACTGACAACCATCAGGGAGAGAGGCACGACAGGCGGGTAGATGCAGGGAAACTGAGGCCGAAGATACAGGAGGCGTTGGTTGGGATGAAACGGGGCATGGTGTTGGATATGCCGCTGGCCAGACAATGCCACAGCATTCGCAGTGTACGAAGTGCAGACACCAGAGTATAGAATCTTGCAACTGGCACTGGAACCTGATGTATGGGACTAAGCCCGACGGGCCAGGGGCTGTGAAAGGTCGCTCAGAGACACCCACTTGAACATGGACATGGTTGGAGTCAAATGTCGGATTACCGGCTCGGTGGAGCACACGACAGGCGACGTTGGACGACAATGGGCGCCTCAATGTCCGCGAGAGGAAGGGATCGTGGTAGTTAAGGTTTGAGAAGTGGAGGATGAGCGTGTGGCAAGCAACAGAGACTGCGACGAGGCAACCAATAGCGACAAGCCGGTATGGTTTTCTGAAGCTCATGAGTGCATGTTTGGAGGGGCACATTGCCTTTCTCGATGTTGAAGGAATCTGGAAGGGCGCAACATCGACGTCTCTCTGGCTGTGGTTGACCGTTGAAGTTTTGACGAACCGTCGACGGTGCAGCATATCGTTGGCTTGCTCCTGCCCTCCCGTTTTCTGTTGAACGTTCCTCTCCTTCCATTCAAACTTAGGTACTGCGTAGTCCCCTAAGGAATACGTACCTCTCTTTCCCTGACAAAGCAATCTGGAAGTAATAAGTACCCAGGTACCTCAAATTCCAATGGCAAGAGCCAGTTTGCAAGTTCCGAAGTTCCTCCTGCCTTCTTCCTGCCTTCTCAAGATGGCCCATCTTCAACCATGACAACGGCGCGGTCTAGACTTTCTGGCCTCTTGAAGTTGCAAATGAAGCAATTTCTTTCTGTGACATCCAACCCGGTTGATCGATGCAAACGAAGAAGTAATCGAGAGGAAGAGAGAACGCAGCCGTGGGCGCCCTACGTGTTCATGTTTATGCACCAAACAGCATCTTCCATTGGCCCCAGTACAGGCCATTCCTAGCCAAAGACAATAATTCGCCAACCGTCTCCCGAACGGTCTTTGGGGGGACGTCGACGTCCCTCGGCCACAAACTCCCCGTCGTCACCACGCGCTAACACAATCTTTCAGGTCCAGTCACCATCATTTCCGTTGACGCTGACGTCGGTCAAATTCCCGCCTGCCTTTCTAGTTGTCACTGGCCACCGACCGTATCTGTTAGTCAGGGACCCCGAGCAGTTCCCCTGCCCTAGGCATCAGCAGTCGGTTCGGCGCCGTCGAATCTCAGGGCAATGGGCCATATTCCGTTCATCCCGCAGAAGAGACGAATTGCGACTTCAATATTCGAGTCGATGAAGGATCTTGGGCAAATGGAGTCTCGGAATTAAGCACCCTGGAGCGGCGCCTCTTGACGATTTGCTATCACAGCAGGATCTCTCTTTACCATTCGGCAATAGAGTTATTCAACACTATTCCACCAAGCACCGGAGAAACGAGGCCAAACCCTCCATATCTTGCCTGGAAAGATTGAAATCTAGGATGGGAAACTTCGCCGTGCCCTGAGAAGCGCCAGACGCCAACTGACCAGTCCGGTACGGTCCTAATCCTGGCCTCACATTAGCTCCTCAGTCCTGATTCACGTCCAGCCCAGCAGGACGTCATCGCCGTGATCGACATGGACGACAACCGGCTTCCCAAAACGGCAAGAGAGCGACCGTTTTGCACACCATCAACACCTTGCCAACAGCCATCAACCCGTCAACTGCATGCTTGCTCACACCAATGGCAGGGTTTTTCGCCTCGCCTCTGAGGTACGGAAGACCGTCTCATATCCCTCCGCGGGAAGGCTCTGCTACCTGAAGTTTCACTCTCCTGAGCCAACGCCATCAGGTCGGACCCTTGGGTCGGAATAATTACACCAATCTTGGCCGAGTTCATTCTGCGGCACCTGCGCCCTCGCCTCTCCCTTGTCTCGGGACACTTTTGCACTTTGGATCGAGGCGGCCATCCATGTTATCTTCTGTGTACCTACTCCGTAGTCCTCTGCACAATATCATCATCATTGTCTTTGGAGGGCGCATTCCATTGCGCATCCCGAGACGTCAGCGGTCAGCAAACAGCTTCGTTGCCAACAAATCAACAGTCACTTGCAACAAATTGCATGTTTCGGTACGGAGCCAGGCTCCTTCTGATTCTGCCAGTCGGAAAGCCACAATCCGTTTTGACATTCATAGCTTGACAACGAATCCTCCGAGCAAAATTTGGCTTTCTGCTGTGGTGCCTGAATGAGCACCACACGCCACAGAAAAGCAGACACCGAGATAGGAATTGCATGTCAACTTCGGAAATCCCCCGTCTCATGCGACGTCCGCCTGGTTCTCATCTGAACTTTGTGAGAACCATCTACACTGCAGACGAAACGGCCCTAGCCAAGCAAACTGCTCCTGCATGTACCCTCTGACTGGCCTAACTCTTCGACCTCGAGTCTGAGCACCTTCAACCAAGGTGTGAATACTTAGGCTCTGTGGCTGCTTGTCAATCCAGCTGTCGACGCGCTTGACTGTCACTGTGGTGGGCTAAGAATTCTGGCTAACAGTGGAAGGAAAAGGCCATGCCACCCGGCACTGGTGTGATTAGTCTGCCGTCATCTCGTTGGCTGCCCCATCACTGACGGCGACGCTACCTCACGGCATTGGCATTGACGTTGACGCACGTCCGCCCATCTTCTACCAATATTTCTTGTCAGCTTGGGGCAAGGTACAACAACCAAATACTTTTTGGCGATCATTTGCAGTACTATACGTCCAGAGGTCAGCACCCGAGAAGAAGACGCTCTTTGGCATTTGCGCTACATGCAGCCTTGTCACGACGAGAAGCGACCAGCCGTCGTCAAGCCCGGATAACCGCAGCCACTCGCCATCTTCCGAAGACCCCTACTGGAGGAACATTGTGCGCCTCGAGTAACCCGTATACTACACCATTCGACCGAGTGACATCCTTGGCCTTATCACCCAAGTCCTTGGTTTTCGCAGAATTCGCCAACGCCCGTACCGATACCACCGACACGACGCCTTCAGTAATTCGTACTTTGTACGGATACACTACAGCCGGTTCCCCGCTACACCGAAGACAAGCTCTCGGGCAACCAGTCGTATTGTCCCATTGTTTGCTGACTGTCTCCCTGACTTCCCGCTCTCTGCTGCTAAGGGGATAAGAATACACGGCCTGGAGAGGGTCCGGTGCATCCATTCATCAGCATCCATCATCAAAGCGAACCCCCCGCGATCCTTGCTGCTGAGTCGACAGGGATCAGTCGACTCCTCCCTCCGTCATTGCGCCCGGGATAATCCCCCTCCCAGACTACTCGACGTCGCAGTGTCTTCAACCACTGCCCAAGTTTTGCCCCCCTTCTCTTCTGGCTCTCTCTCTTTGCGTTTCTCAGATGCCTCAGCCTCAGTGACGTTATCTCTGTACTACAATATCTGGTAAGTAATTCTCCCTTCCTCCTACATACAAACATCCCACTTCTTCACCTCATCTTTCTTGTATGCACAAACACGCTATGCATATGGTCTATACTCGGCACAACCATCCACAGTGTATGGAACCATATGGAGACCTTGCATGGATTCATTCATCCTATTTTTGAGACTACGCCCGCCCATTCAACTTTCACTTGAGTCTCCTAACAAAGCTGACTCGCCCCTCTTTTCCAACGGTACTGCAGATGCATGCAGTTGGATTTTCACTACGGAGTACAGTCCACAACAGACAGACTGGGACGTTTCGACAGCGATCCGACGACAGAGTCCACCCAACTCCAGCCCGACCTGCTAGCCCGACCTGAGAACCCGACCTGACCCAGCCCATTTGACGGGGGTCTTCCACCACAAACACGACCAGAGGAACGGGAAGAGAACAGACTGAAGTGATCTGAGAAGAGACTGGAACCCCGCCATCTCTCATCAACCAAAAAGAATCCACCTCACATCCCATCTCAGCGGGTATCCCAACGACTTGCCCCTCCTCTTTCTCTCTTTCACTCTCCGTGCAAAGGGGAAAAAAAGCGAACAAATAGGGCACCGTCCACTTGGTATTAGCTCTATCGCCCAAAATCAGAAAACAAAGTGAGACACATCGACGCCCAAACAAGCGACAACCCGAAAAAGGGCGCCAAAGCACCTCCAAGTCAAAGCGACCGAGAGGGGAAAGAAAAAAAATTAGGAAAGTGAGAGAAGACGAGACCAAATTTCCTTAGGGCGGAATTCCTCACGTGGTTGCGACGTGCGTCCTGCCGCTACGGCCGTCCCGCTTCATATCCATCTGTTCAAGGTGGTCAGCGCCCAACCCAATTCCCGACTGCCCCTCCTCACCTCATCTTCCTCCCTCGACGTGCACCCTCGAGGCGCTGAGCATTCTGCCTCATTCAACTCATCCGGAAGAGAAAGCACCTCGGCGGCCACAAGCGATAGCTACAAGTAGCACGATTTGTCGACGACTCGACTAGTCAACGTTGCCATGGATCACCGCTACTCCTCATCGCGGTACACTACCGCTCGGCCGCGGTCGCCGACTTTCAATCCTGCCAGGGCTTCGCTTCCCACCAGTATTGGCTACAGTTCCATGTACGGGGGTGATATCCATGTCATGCCCACGTCTTCGACGAGATATGCCTCTGGCAGTTCTCGAAGCCATCATTCTGGCACGCCCACAACCACGACCACTACCTATGCAGTCACCAAAGACCCCCTCGCCCGCGGCCCAGGCCTGAGAGAAGCGAGCCGCAATCGCTCTCATCGCTCATCGACCCTCGACTCTACCTCTGCCCGCCCAGTCATTGTTACCACGACGACCCGACCGCCGCAGGCCAGTTCATCGTCGCACCACTCGTCGAGCAACAGACATAGCAGCCCGACACGCGATGAGTATCGCTCCAGCGACTCGACATTTTACACGCAGCCTGCGTCATCCATACGTTCCCGAAGCCATCACCGCGGTGGCTCTTACAGCGCAACCATGGACAACGAAGAATTCACCCGCATGCGCGAGCGAACCCTCGATCCTACATCATCTAGGCACGATTCGTACCGCCCTTCGAGGTCTTCGGCCATTTATACCAATGTTTCCCGCCATGGAAATGCCCCAGTCGACATTGGCGGCACGGATGGCTACGAATACACTACTCCAAGCGACTTGGCAAGATACGATTTGGATCACACCCGGCCACCTTCACGATCACGCAGGCGAGAGAGCATCGACCGTGGTTATTACCGACCGAGTGTTAATGTTACGACAACTGAAAGCACTAGTCGTGCATATGATGTTGGTCGACAGCGAGCAGGCCCTCCGCCCACCACCTGGGGCTTGGATAAGATTAATCGCTCTTCCACGAACGTATACGACCCAGCCCAAGGCTCAATTCCTCCGGCAGCCCCTGCTGCGCCTATCCATCTACCAGTGCCCCCAAGCCCGACCAGCCGACGCTCCACTGGTGGTATCCCTTCCTCCATGGATGTCGCCGCAGCAACTTCCGTAGCGGCAGCGACTGTCGCAGGAGCGGCTGCCTCTCGGCGGCCTGTATCCGTGTATAATGAGGGGCCCCCTCGATCCAGCCATCACGAGGATTACTACCGAAGTCGCGATGATGATCGGGCTCAGCGGCAGGCCCGGGAGCCTGATCGCAAGTATGATCCCATTTACGGCAGTGGTGATTACTACGATAATGGAGTCACCAGCCGTGGTTTCGGTATCCGTACGGACTCAGCTCCCGTTGGCGGCGATTTCGAGGACCGACGTAGAGAGGCACGACCCGAGTCTCGAAACGGTTATCGCCCAGACTCGCGCACTGGATATAGACCAGAGTCGCGCGGCGGCCCCCGACCAGAGTCTCGAAGTGGTCATCGAACATCTCCTCCGGATGTCAAGAGAGGATCCGACGATGAATCTAAGCGCCGGGACGAAAAGGATCGCTCCAAGCGTGATTCAGCCCGCCTCGAGACGGACAAGGATCGCCATTTGCGGCGGACTAGCACAGCTAATGAGGACGAAGCCGAGAAGAAGCGCCTGCGTGATAAGTTGAGTGCGGGACTTGGTCTTGCCGCCACCGCGATTGGCCTCGGCTCAGCTGTGAAGGAGAAGGAAAAGGAGAAGGAGAAAGAGAAGGACGAGCGCCCCGAAAAGTCGGAGCGGGAGTCCCGGGAGCCCCGGCGCCGAAGCGATGAAGAGGATCCTGGAGCGCGTGCTGCCGAGAGATACAAGCCTCGGGAGGAGTCTCGGGACCCTCGCGATCGTGCACCCGTCATTGTTGAAACTCGCAGGGCCGCCGCCGAGCAAGAGGCAGATGTCCGCGATCGCGAAAAGGAGCGTGAAAAGGAGCGCGATCGAGAGCGTGACCGAGAGCGTGATCGCGACCGCAATCGCCGGGATGCCGAAGCCAAGCTCACGGGCGATTCTACAGCTGCACAACGAGATGTGTCCCCGGAAGATGACGAGCAAAAGTCGAGGCGTCCTAAGCGGCAGATTGGCTTCAATCCTACCAACACCAACGACATTCGGGAATTGAAGGAGCAACTGGCAGCCATGAAGGATGACAAGCCAGAAAGGGTTCCGGTTCCTGTTGACAGGTCAGACCGCGTTGACCGGTCGGAGCGCTCAGAACGTCCAGAGCGGTCTGAGAGATACGAACGATCCGACCGATTGGACAGGCCTGAACGATCTGAAAGAGATGATAGATCAGACAAGCAAACATACGCTGATCTTCCGTTCCGCGAGCCACACAAGGAGCCGAAGGAACGCACACCTTCACCCAAGAAGGAGTCACCGCCACCAAAGAGGGAATCGCCCGTCTCACTCCCTTCGGCCGACTCGATCGTTACTTCATCCAGAGATGAACATCGCGACCGTGACCGCGACCGCGATCTCACACCACCTCGTGACGAGAAGCAGGTCCGCGTCGTGTCTCCGCCTCGCGACAAGTCAGACGCAAAGCCTCTCAAGGGTATCCTGAAGGCACCCAAGAAGTATCCCGAAGAGGACAACCCAATTCGTGAGGGTGTGGCACCTCACAAGGATGACAAGAAACTGAGGGAAGTTCCCCCTGGTGCCCGATGGACCAAGATCAGCCGGAAGATCGTAAATCCTGAGGCCTTGACCGTTGGCAAGGAGCGGTTCGAAGTCAGAGACGACTTCGTCATTGTCCTCCGCGTTCTCAGCAAGGAGGAGATCCAGGCCTATGCCGCCGCAACACAGGTCTTGAGAGGTATGTTGGGAAACTAGAAGCATTTGCTCTGGCATGGACTAACAAGTGGAATAGAACGGAGACGTGAAGAGACTGGTAAGGACCGGGACCGCGGCGATCGCGACCGGGACCAGGACCGTGGACGTGACCGCGATGGCGAAGATGATGACAAGCGGAAGCACCGTCATCACAGGAGGGAAGACGGCGATGATGACCGGTACGACGAGGAGCGCGACAGAGAGCGCCACCGCAGACACCGTCGAGACGAAGACGAGTATGAAGACGACTCGAGGCGACGTGATGACCATCACCACCGCCACCGAGAGCGTGACCGCGAGACTCTTGCCATTGAGGGCTGATGAGTACGGCGGGGGCAGATGTAAGAGGAAGCATGTAGCAGGAGATGATGGTACTTGTATGCGCGGAGCTTTGGTTATCTGACGGCAGCATTGGACGAGGAGCCCTTGAAAGCGAGAAGCGAATCTCTTCATTGAATTTATACATCTTTTATTGTTTTCACAGATTTGGGAAAGCGAGAGATATTTATGACTTTTACGTGTGGAGTGATTGGGCCCAGCGGCTATCATGTCAATTTCAGAAAAAAGAAAGCACTATTGGATTTGCATATGATATATCCCATCCACTTTTTGCGTGCTTGGCCATGAACGATTGACGCCTCTGGGAAGGGGATTGGGTCCTGAAGGAGTGAGACCAGAGGTTCTGGGGGGTAAAGGACCCAGAAATAATGGTCCCGTGAGGTGGTTTGCGCGAACTGGTCTTAGAGTTGGCGCGAACACCATTACGCACGGAGGTTAGCCTCGAGGGTGAGGGGTTTCGTGCTCGGTCTCGTCCGGAGGTGTGTGGCCGGCCGGCTGGCTCCTTGGGGCGACTTTAGGGAGGAGGCGTTGCGGGATGAGCTTGAGAGACGTCACTTTGGGTTTAACGATTTGTTATGCTTTTTATATCTGCTTATTTCTCATGTCTGTTTTGAGCTGATTGAAAGGCTGGAGTATTCTTTCATTGTCTTCGTTGAGTGAGGTTGCGTGAGGTTGGGAAAGCAGTTGAGGGAGCCTCAGCTGGTAGGGTTGGAGAAGGGGTTCGAGGACTCATCTAATCCGTGTCGGACGGGGGCGTCTCCTGTCAATGTGCCTTGCCTCACTATGACTGACCAGCTCTAGCCATAACATTCTCAAAGTATCGTTTCAGAGATATGATCGTCTAGCTGGTTCTAGTTCGGGGGCTGCTTTGATATTGCCTTGAGTTGCGGCGCCTGACACTCATTTACTTCAATAAGGCGGTAATCAAGGAAAGCAGGGTTTAGAAGTCGTGTAAAAGGTAGCGAAACAGACGCATCGCATATGTTTCTTGTTGATTCATTTCACCGGAGCTATTGTCTATGGGAAGATCGACAAGGTGCAAGATGAAGATAGCGCCAGATGAAGGGGTTTAAGGTGAAGTGTTCCTGTCCGGGAGGCCCGCTGCCCTCCGGCCGGGTGTGGGTCTACGAATATACCGGGTGCGGACGCGGGACCTCCGAGAGGCGCGGGATACACTTTGCAGAGGAGTTCGCCGATCCGTTATCCGCATTGCCCGACTTAACTTCTTCCATAGCACGGGCGAATCCTGCCCAGAGAACTGTTTGGGTTGTTGACGTGGCGTTTCTCTGATACCAAGTTATTTTTCATCAGCAAGTTGCATCGTAATGGATCTTCTCTCTCTAATTAACCCACTCTCTCAAGACTCGATAGTCACCAGGAAATTTGCGGTGCCATTTCAGCTCAAGAACTCAAAAACTCCAGGTTTCTGGCCTTGAGATCGGACAGGGCGAGATAATTGTGCCTTTATATTAGACTGGCTGAGGAATTAGAAGGAGATTGAGCGTGCCGGCCGGTTGCTTTTAGGCGCATGTCGTCGTGACTACTACTATTGGCGATAGTGCTCGTGAGAAGCCCTCTGGCAATTATCCCACTCTGACTTTTCAGAGTAGACGTGAGAAGACCTTTTTGCAGATGAAGCTCCGACCCGCATCGATGATTTCATCGCTGAGAAGCGGCTTTCCGACGATGTATGATCTTAACAGAACTTGGGCAGGTTTCCTGGAGAAACTCATCCATTTATCAAAGATCACTCCATCTTCCAGTACGCAAGGCCCAGAAATTCGTCGGAATACTTGCAACTGGTGAGCGGGAAGTAAAAGTTGGAGTCATGGACGGGTGATGTTGAAGTAAAGCCATGCAGAAATCGTCATGCAACAGCGAAAATACGAGATAATGCATCCCTGCGCGGTTCGTTACCTTGGAACGGAAAGTGCAGAGAGGGAGTTGGAAGCCAGCAATCTTGTACCTTCCTAATGCATGTCTGCCAAGAATTAGCGACATGGTGCGATTACACCACATCCGCTTTTCTACCCGTAATAAAGGTTTCGCGAACCCTCAAGCTTTGAAGACTAGTAGACTTGATTCAACATCGTAGACAGCTTTCTGCTTCGGACTGCAAACCAAAGGGCAAAGATGAGAATCTCTCACCTGGCAGGTCTCCTGTCCATCGTGTCCGGCACCCTAGCCGCGACCTTCAAGTCCTGCACCGCCGCGCAAATCGTCACCCTCGAAGCGGCCATCGAGCGAGCTACCAACAAGTCGTTTACGGCGATTGAGCACCTGGAGGATAACCCCAACGGTAGCGATGTCCAGACAACGTGGTACGGAAAGTTCAGCACCGACCGCTATAATCGCGTGTTGACGGCTTTCAAGGTACGTTTGGCGGGGCTTTTCAGTCTCATGGTACCTAGAGGGGGAGAGACGATGGATATATGAGTTAACAATGTTCAAAACAGAAATTCGCGCCTGATTTGGCCACTACGTTCTCATACGATTGCTCGTGTACCAGCACCGCCGTATACGCGACTATTGGCGGCACGTACGGCGACGTCAGAATTTGTAGTGTGTATTTCAACGAGGCGATGCTTCCGCCTGCTGGGCGGCATCGCAATCAGTGGGAGTGAGTTCATGTCTCGACCTTGAGGGCACCTGTGTCTTCTCATGATCGTGAGTCAAAGGATTGTGTCTGACTGAGATTTTTATAGTACTATCATCCATGAGGCGACGCACTTTCGAGATGTGTTAGGAACAACGGACTATGGGTATGATGTCGACTACTGCAAGCAATTTGCCCTTGAAGATCCCGAGAAGGCGGTTAAGAACGCAGAGTAAGTTACAAGACAACCCTTACTATAAGCAGAAGCAATTAACATCTTCCAGTAATCACGCCCGCTTTGCTGTTGAGGTGCCGCCTTGGGGTCCCTAATTGCATATGTCCGAGTCACCACCAGGCCTGTCTATGTTTACTCTCACACACGCGCGACATAAAACCCTCCCGCTCGTCTCGATACCCCCTATAGCCAATAAATTCGTTTGGTATTATCACCGGCTCATGTTTAGTGTAGTGGGGAATGCCGGGTCGCCACCGAATTGCTGCGCGGAGCCTCGTGAAGAGTCCTCGCATCGCTATTCAAGAGTGTCATACATGCGTAGGAATTTCCATAGGTCCTCGGAAGGTCGGGTGGGCTTTCATTTCTGTCTTTCTTTCTCTTCGCTTAGAGGGTAGAGGAGCAGCCGCGTAATTGGAATTGTTCTCTCATGGCTAGAGCTGAGAAATTCGACATAGGTGGTTGACAAACAACGTCTTCTACAGTCGCTTGAAATGCTGTTCTACACTAAATCACCTTATGCTAGATGGTAGAAAATTCCAAACACTTCTGGAATCCAAGCTTGTCATCGCTGGTCGACTGCCTGGCATGGTTGGTGTGGTCCACGTATATGAGGAAGCCACGATCCGACCGTCAGCCGTGATAAAGGGGAAGACAGGTTCTTGAATGATCGAGTAGCTAACGAGGGTTCCCTGTTCGTGTACTTTGAGCTAGTCAATCAAACTGTTCGAAATGTAAGGGAACCTATTGATAAGCTAAGACCGATGCCGCAACCGCTGTTCCTAACATCCTGACATCGTTATTGGGCCGGATGTTCATACTATATAATAGATACCTCAAGAACACCGGTATTCGTTTGGCTTGATGACCTCGTACTGGGTCTCGATAATAATAGGCAAAGAAGGAGGCCGTTTTGCAGTATTCGTCTTCTCGCCTGCCTTTGCGGTTGTGGTCTTGTTCCCCTTTCCCCTCCTCTTTCTCAATGATCTCGAGTGTGAGCTTACTCACATCGAGGCCACGTAGGGGCTAGATGTGTGGTGTGAACTAAGCTTGTATTCTCCATCTGTCTGTCTAGCTGTGTGTTTTGTGCCTTGCCTGTGGCTGCGGATGTGGCTAGCCGCAGCTCACATCAGTAAGATGCCGCTCAGATGGGGGGGGGGGGGGGGTCAAGATGTGTATGTAGGAGGTTGGATTGCTAGCTAGGATTGTTGTGGCACGAGGCCCATATGTACATCCCATCCGAGCCCCCTCGGAGCTTCCAAATTGGTCCAGTGGGTCTCACCCACTCACAACATCGAGGATCGCAATGGAACTTTGTCTCAAGTCATCCCCAGGCATCACTCTATATATATTCAGTGTAGACTACATAAGAGATGACCACTTCTGACCGAGATTTGCGTCCCGATTTCTCTTTACTGCTCTCAACGTCCGCCAAACAGAAGCTTTCTGGCCACTGAATTCGTTGTAAACAACGAAACGAAAAGCAGTGTCGAATCTGCAAAATCCCTTGAGAAGTCACACTGTTGACAGAAACTGCTAACGTTGTGGCTCAATATAAATACCAGCGTTTTGGAACGGAGCATTCGCGGCATTAGTCGCGCAATTGCATGCCTTGAGAAGTAAAGAGATTCGTTTCATGGCGGAAGGATATTTTCCATCGCAAGGTCCATAGTCATTCACAAGTACCACGCCTCAGATTAGACATTCAAGCAGGGTTCTCACCCTTCCGGATCAAATACACGTCCAGCCTCGTGGTCAGTACCGTTTCCCGAGTTATACCGAGTTGCCTGTCGCATGATCCGGCCTCATAGAAGCTATCAACGGGGGAATCTCATAGCAAGATGATGCAACTCCACAAGGAAGCCGCTCTACTGGCCTCTTCCAACCTTGCGCCTCCTTGTCGACCTTTGTGTTCCTCAGCAACATATCAGGATCTTCCAAGGTCCATTTTGGTCAGTACAGTATCGCTAAAAGGTCATTCCTGCAGAATGATGTGAGCTCTCGTTAGCCTCGAAGAGAGCCCTTGTTCTTTCCTCGGTTCTAAGCTCTACCTCCTGGTACTCTAATTCCAGTTAAGCCACATGAAGGATTTCGGAAATCTTTTTTTGGGATCGCTGGAGACCCGTAGTGCGTAACCTTACTGTGGATAAAACCATAGCGGTTGATGACGGAGCGGCTCATGTATTAATTCAATAGCGGGCAAAAACGGGAGGTTGAAGGGAACAGAAAGCGATGCAAAAATTTCCACAGTCTGGAATCGAAGACATAAAGTTTCGCCTTGAAGATACGAAGTCACTAGTGCATCAATCAAGCCACGAAGTTCGTTGAGGTTGATGATCTGACGAATTGTGTCTGCCACAAAACTCAAATGATCGTGGTTACAATGGTGTCAGCCGGTCTCCATCATCGACAGCCTCTTACCTTGAAAGCCACGAACCGTCTGGCTGTTTGGAAGCGAAGAAAGATATATGTCCCGCAGATCCCTGTCCCGTCGAAATGCCTCTGACAGCCTTCCTCTACCATAGTCATGTTCCGCTCGGGATGCCTTGATCTGTCCTATGATGTAACATTCATATATGGTCCTTCGAAACTGAAGCTTTGCTTGTGGATAGGTAGCAAATGGAATTTTAGAGCCTTGACGGCCTTGCTCCGCTAAGCACCGTCCTGGCAACTCCTTTGAAAAGGCTGAATCTGGGAAAGCAACCTTGTGGACTTCTCAACGAATTTTCTATTCCAAAGCTTGAACCTGCTTCTTCCCACCAATGTATATAAACTCATCTTCTGCCAGACTCTTCCCTCTTCCCTTGCTTCTTCTGTCAACTTCTCACATCTGTGATTTCATCAATCTTGTAGACCATATTTTACAACAAACTCTCAAGATGAAAAGCATCACCTTCCTGGCCGGCATCCTGCTGGTCTCCGTCGGCCCCTCCCTTATCAACGCTGATACCATTCGGGGTCCGCGTCCGACAACCACAGCCGTGGCCGAGGACTCCTCCCTCTCGAATCTCCCCCCTATGTTAATCCTCGAGATCATCAACATGGAGAAGAAGAGGAAGGGAAAGGGGAACAAGACCACGACCGCAGTAGTAAGCGAGAAAACCAACACGGCAAAGCGCCCCCCTTCTCTACCAATTATCATCGAGACACACCACGAGATCATCAAGCCAAAGGCACCCAAGACCGCTGCTCTCAAGAGAGATGCTCCTCAGCCTACTGCCCCCCTTCAGGCGCGCGAGCAGCGAAGCGGTGAGGCGGATGAGAATGCCGAGTCCTCCTCCCTCTGCACGCATAATAAGTGCCCCAAGGAGATGGAGGTCACCCGCACCCTCGAGCCTAGACAGCAACAGGAGACGGACGACGCCGAGCCCTCCGCTGACGAGGATGACGCCGACTCCTACAGAGACTGTCCCAAGAGGCGCTCGCGCAAGGCCAAAATCGCGAGTATGGAGGCTACCAAGACCCTCGAGCCCAGACAGCTGGTCGTAGAGACTGCCGCCGCCGAGCCCTCTACCGGCGAAGACGTCGATTCCTACCTCTGTACACACGAAGACTGCCCTCATAAGTTTGCGCGTCTGGTGAAGCCACGGTCCGCGAAGACCCTCGAGCCCAGGCAGCCGGCTGTGGAGACTGACTCTGCCGAGCCCTCCGCGGACAAGTACGCCGATTCTTCCCTCTGCACGCACGGAGAATGTCCTCATGAGCTTGGACGCCTGGTCAAGCCGTGGGCCAGCAAGACTCTTGAGGCCAGGCAGCTGTACGTGCCGACTAGCACTGCCGAGCCTTCTGCGGACGAAGAGGAGGAGACGGAGGAGAAGGATGATGAGTACTACGCCATGCCGCCCCCTCGCACCCGTCGCTTGAGGTGCAAGGGCAGACACAGCAGAACCGCTTCCAGCACGGCGACTCCTACTTCTTCCACCACTTCATCGACCACCTCGTCTGCCACCTCGTCCAGCACCGGCACCGTTACTGTCACCGTGACGCCGACTGCCACCACCAGCTCGAGCTCCTCTTCTTCCACCAGCACTTCCTCCTCCTCCTCCTCATCCTCCTCCACTTCCACCAACGCACCCGATGGCGCTGTTACGCGCACCACCACGATCACCGTGACCGCGGACCCGACCTACACCCCGACTTACATCCTGAAGCCGTACCCGACGACCTTCCGCAAGGTCAGAGCTTAAACGCGGTTCTGTTGGAGTGTCAAACATGGGTGTTCGTTTGTTTGTTCCCCAGGTGTAATGAAGCCTAGGTTAATGAGGAAACTTATGGTGTATCCGGAGGTTTGTTTACCAGCTTTCCAGCTGGCGCAGTCTATTCGGCCTTAAGTACGCTTAGTGAGTTAGGTCATAGTGAATTCCAGTATCGTTTAGTAAGCTCGGGTGTTGTCCATACCGTGAGCATTTGGTGTGATCATGTATTATCTATTTTGATTGAAGATGCCCGTCTTTGCTTCCACATCATCAACCCCACGACCTTACGACCAAAGCTTCCGAATCAAATACTCAACCGCCTCAGCGCGGTACGTATCCGGCTGAACATGAACCAAGTCGGTAACGTTGACATCGAACCCCATAATCTCGGGGTTCTCAACATCATACCGCGGCCACTTCACGCCCGTCGCCCCAGCATTCGCATTCGGATCCCCCTTGGTGATAAACCCAACCCACATCCGCGACATAATCTCCGCCAGCGCCTTGAACGTCTCGGGCTTCCCCTCGAACGGATTCACCGCCACCGCCGTCTCGTACCCCAACCCGCCCGTGTTGTTAAACACAAACGCAACCTCCTGGAAGTGGTTCACCCCCTCCGCGGGCGTCATACCGTTGACAAGCACGTTGAAGTTATACGAGTACACGCTCTGATTCCCCCTCGGTCCAGCCCAGTTGCGCGCAAAGAACCGCCGGGGACCATGCTGCGCGCGATCGCCCGCAAACGCGTTCACGCGCTTCCACATGGCGCCGAAATTCGCCTGCGCACCGCTCGGTCGGCCCCGCAGCGTCGCCGGCGTGCCGAGGCGCGGGATATCCGGGTACAGCGCCGAGAGCACCTCGATGGTGAGATTACCCGCCCCGCCGGAGCGGAGGTAGGCCTGCCATTGCGCCGTGGTGTTGACGCCCTTGACGCCAAACTGCGTGCCCTCGTCCGAGTTGGCGCCGATCAGCAGCGGCACGCGCGTGAACTTGCCCTCGTTGACGAGCTCGTGACGCGGCGCCTCGAGGAACTCGCCGTCGACGACGCCCGTGAAGGCCGGGTTCGTGGCCGTGGTGTTGAGCACGTCGCTCAAGGTCCAGGCCGGGACGCTGCGAAGGCAGGAGAGCGTATCGGACGCTGCGGAGCAGTTTGTCTTGTTGACGATGGTGTCGTAGTAATCCTGCCACGTGGCCGCAGACGAAGACGCCTCCAACTCGCCAAAGTCGGTCCCGAGACCGGTGCCGCTCTGCAGGATCGCGGCGCGATAGAGGCCTTCGTCCCGCCCCCCGTAGGCCAGCATCTGCGACGCCACGCTACGGGAGCCGGCGCTCTCGCTCCACAAGGTAACGTGCGTCGGGTCGCCCCCGAACGCGGCAATATTCTCACGGACCCAGTGCAACGCCAGGCGCTGGTCGCGGAAGCCGAGGTTGCCCGCGCCCTCGGCCTTGATCTCGTCGCTCCACAAAATGCCCCAGGCGTGGAGGCGGTAGTTGATGCTGGCGGCGACAAAGGGGGAGCCCATGCGGACTCCCTGCTCGACGATGAAGGAGAGGTTGTAGCGCGGGTCGGCGCTGCCGCCGTTGGTGAGGCCGCCTCCGTGGATCCAGACCGCGACAGGGAGCTTTGCGTCCGCGGCGACGCCGTGAGGCCGGACGACGTTGATGGTTAGACAGTCTTCTGATACGTGGTTGCCGAGGACCCAGGTGTCGCTTCCGTAGCCGAAGCAGAGCGGGGAGTACTCCGTCGCGTTGCGCGTGCCGTCCCAGGAGGAGTTCAGGGGTTGCGGGACGCGGAAGCGGAGGTTGTCGACGGGGGGTTGGGCGTACGGCATGCCGAGGAAGAAGTCTTGGTCGTGGGGCTCGTTGTAGACGCCATAGTAGGAGCCGTTCTTGAGGTCGACGGTGGGGACGGTGCCGGTGGTGGTGTTTGCCGGGACGGCCTGTCTCGGTACCAGTGCGGACACCGTGGCGCAGGCCGTGGAGAGGGTGGCGAGCAGGTTGAGTCGGGTCATGTTGTCGTTGTCCGGGAGCTAAGCTGTGGTGACCGACGATGTCTTGACGAGCATACGCTGCAGCTGTCGTCCCGTCAGGTCACCAAGGAGCAGGGCAGCTCTCGGCCATTATGTACTTGAGCCATGGACTGCGGGACCGGGAGAAGGTCGGACATTGGACCTCTGCTTTGTTCTCCATGCTGCGAGATGAAGTCCACCATGGCTCGACCCCTCGAGGACGATGATCCCGGCGTCATGCCACGAGACCAATGCCGGCCGGGGGTGGCAGGGGATGGCCTCCAGGCTAGTGTAGTGGACTACGTCACTTTGTCAAGAGAAAGACGAAGTCCGAAGCGGTCGTTTACCGTGGTATTAAAGCTGTGAATGCCAAGGCCCGTGGTCGGTAAGGTCAAGAAGAAAAAAATCAGTAGCTTATTTGTCGTTGATGGGTACAGAGTAACATGGCGTGACAGGTCCGATCCAATGGGCTGGGTTGGCCTACCCCGCAGACGCAAACGCTCCGCAAGAATCGGCCCTACCCTGGCACTTGGGGAGCATTGTGGAGGGATTTGGGGTTGGGTGGTGTGGGGGAGAATTAGAGAAGTTTTGACAAGACTCGTGAGGAACAGTTCAGGATGTTGGGTGCGGTCAACTCCCGAGGGGACCATGGATACCAGACGAACGGGTTGCGATGCCGGGACAGTGTTTGGCTTTGTTTAACATTCGAGTTCCGAGTCGCCCATTTCCACATGCCGAACATGCAGAAGTCGCGTTGTGGTGCTAGGTAATTCCACATTGATGGAATACTCTGGTGGCTCGATTCACTAGGCTAAAGTCCAGCAAAATCGATTCTGATGAGTAGTCTTGTCAGTGCTAGCTTGGCTCCTCGAGTCAAGTCTATCAAGACTTTGAGCCGAAGAAGTACTCGACTAAGGTATCTACCTAGAGTATGCATAGCCTAGGTGCCAGACCGGAGCCGCAGCATTTCTCCGCGTTTCTCCGCCTCCTCGTCGTGGAGAATCCGGCAGCCAAATTTGGCCCCCGACGTCCCGACAGATTGGCTCTAGTTGGCGACCAAAAGGGACAGTTGCTGACTTGGGGTTGATGGGCAACTTCTATTTCAACAACCGTTCTTAGTAAATTGATCATTGGGTATTAGTCTTACTCTTCTAGAATGTAGACTAAGGAAAATAGAAAATCGTAATGGAAGAAACCAAACTTGGTCGGCTCGTCGGCTAACTCCCCCATCCATAAACTCCGTACTGTGCCGTTGAGCGTCAAATCAACGCATTGACACCGTCCCCTGTACACCGAGACAAGCGGGACCCAGGCACTCACCGAACCAAAAAAACCAACGACGTCATGCCGTCCGCTCCGAGACCACGGCCCCGAAAACTCGGCACCAGTGCTGACGACAAGGGGGTCCGAATCTCGAATCCTTCCGGCCACCATCCAACGTCCTCCCACTCCGACCCAGTCACAACGGAAAATCCTAATCTTCAACGTCCGGTAGACCCTTGAATTCCCAGGCCTCAGACTGATCTCGACGACTGTATTACAAATCTCAAATCCCGAACCTCTGTAAATCTCTCATTCCTCACTCTGACCCCTCACTCACTCACAACCACCACAGGACAACCCCTCACACTCTCACCTCGTTCATCAACCACTCCCAGACGTCCACGCCTACCCATCCGCCCGCCGTCCGAAAGCGGTTCCGCCAAAATGCCTCCAAAAACCCCCAAGCCAAACGGCACCTTCACCTACTGCGTCGGCTCCAACCCGCCCTTCACCCCCGAAGAATACGCAAGCGACCCGACCCGCCGCCAGCGCGCCCTCGACCACCTGGCCAAGAACGACCTCTACGCCGCCGCCGTCGTCACCTTCAACCTCCCCGAGCGCGACACCTACGTCTACCACGCCATGACGGCCGTCCGCCTCGCCGAGGTCCAGCGCGTCGTCAGCATGGGCGGCGTCAACGGGTTGCACGCGTGGTACCGCGACGAGGAGGGGAAGCCGGTATGTTTGAGCGGTCTCTGTTGTCGATTGTCTTTTATGCTCTGCGTGTTCCCTTACTTTCCCTACTTCAAGATATCAGACTCCTCTTGTGTCAGCTCGGTCTTCTCGTACACACACTCCCCCCCCTTTATCACGTCTCCGACAGGTCTCTCTCCTCTAACTCCCAACATCTTTATGTCACCCATCATGTAATGCTCGGCCATCACTCCTTCTTACATTCATCTTAACCCTCACTCCCCAATTGTCTCTCTCAACCCCTCCCTTCTCCTTATCACCAGTCTCCATGAGCCTCCACCCCCCCCCCCCCCCCCCCCCCCCCCCCCCCCCCCCCCCCCCCCCCCCCCCCCCCCCCCCCCCAACCCCCCCCCACCCACCCCCCCCCCCCACCCCCCCCCCCCCCCCCCACACCCCCCCCCCCCCCCACCCCCCCCCCCCCCCCCCCCCCCCCCTCACCATCAGCCATCACCAACCCTCTCCTCCCACCTCACACAGAACATCAAAAGACTAACACCACCAGCTCGACCCCCCACCCCAAGCAGACATCCAATCCTACATCCAAATCTTCTCCCCCAAAACCTCAACCCCGCAAGCCCTAAAATCCCACCTCGCAAACGCCAAAAAGTCCTCCCTGCGCTTCCTCTCCGCCTCCCACCTCCTCGCGCACCGCTACATCCACCCATCCTACGCCTCCTCCTCGAACCCGTCCGGCATCAACCTCGCCGCCATCCCCAAGTGCAAAAACCCAACCGCGTCCCTCCCCCCAAACCCCTCCCTCGACTTCTGGTCCTGGTCCGCCCTCTCCCTCCAATACCTCGGCCCCCTCCCCAACCTCCCCCTCCGATCCCACCACGCCCTCCCGATCCAAATGCACCACTTCGGCTGCGCCACCCCCTCCCACGAAGCCCTCTCCGTCCTCCGCCTCCTCGCCGGCCCCCGCCCCATAGCGGACATCGGCTCCGGCAACGGCTACTGGACGCACATGCTCCGCCTCTACGGCCTCACAGTCTACCCCGTCGACAACCTCCAATCGGAGTGGCGCACGAACTGGGTCGCCGACACCATCCCCTCCGACGGCGTCTCGTTCCTCGAGTCCCGCGCGGGGGGGAGGGACATGGTGATGCTGCTGGTCTACCCCGTCGTCGGCGGCTCCGTGGCGGGCGGCGCGGAGGGGGGCTTCACGCGCGGGCTGGTGGAGGCCTACGAGGGGGACACCATCGCCGTCGTGGGCACGCAGAACGGGAACGGGTATACCGGCTTCCGGGGGATGACGATGGCGGAGTACATGGCGAGAGAACAGCCCGAGTGGGTGAGGGTCGTGCAGATTCCGCTGCCGAGTTTCGCGGGGAAAGACGAGGCGTTGTTTGTTTTTCAGAGGGGGGAGAGGGCGCCGCCTAGGGACGAGGCTTTGGGGAAAGAGGACGAGGGGGGTAAGGATGCGTAGACGTAGGAAAATGAGAGAGTACTCAACAGACAATTTGACGTCTCATACCAACATCATTCACAGTAGACAGTAGAGAGACGGTAAACCGAAAGAAGTGATTCTTAACTACCAAAATTCTATAAGTCCCTTTCATTCCCATCGCCCTCCGAGATAAAAACAGTCCAAATGAAAACACACCATCCACGAAGAAAATTCCTCATCATCCGACTTTGTGCCATCCGCACTTCCCAAAAATGCCCGCCGGGAAACAAGCATATCCTTACCAGCAAGTACGCTCTCCGACGCCTCTCAGAATCGGGAAAAGAACAAACAAGACGAGGAAACAATCGAACCGTGGAAAAGGAAGAAAGCGGTAAGCGAAACCCCCTTCTACCTTGGGAAGAGAAAAAGAAAATGTACCGAGAAGTAGGAGAGAGGCAGTCGAAAAAGCGTCGCAGACTCCATTCCACTCCATCCGCCTTTCATACTCAGAAATGATCAACAGACTGATGCCTCGTGAGAAGAAGAAAAAAAAAAGAGTAGAAAGCCTCCTCATGTCTTGTCGTAGGGGTCCAAGGCGTCGTAGCAAAGCCCGTATACTCTTCGCTGTGTCAAGGAACGGAAATTTTTTGCGTGACAAGATGCTTCTTTTTCTGACCAAAACAGCGTCCTCCCACCCCTTCAGGAAAAGTAAAAGGAAATCGGTCATCCATCGTAGAGAAGAAGAAAAGTTTTGTTTTTTGTCATCGTCAAGTCGTCAACCTAGGAAATCCATCTACCCTCTTTTGCAAGTAGGGTGTTACTTTTTACGTCATTTCCTGGTCCTAGCCTCTCTTTTATAAACTTGTCGTAGTGTCGGGCACGTTATAATACAAAATGGGCACCCTTTTTTTGTTGCGTGTAGCTGTGTGCGGTGTACGATGTGTGTGTGGTCGTGAGACGTCGGTATTAACAATGCGCGAAAACGAGATTGAAAGGCACTGGAAACGTTTTGACGGGCGGGCATGGTGACTTTCGCTTTGATGATGCTGAATGTTGGGGTCCATGGCGAAAAACAGAATGCGGTTATGTGCGTAGTGAGAAACCCACAATAGTAAACGTATAGTCGCGAGGTCGAGTAGATGAGTAAATGCTTTTTACGAGTCCAACATCGAAAGACGTTTACTCATCAGCCTCTCCCTTTCTCATTCTCTCGTTCCACTTCCGCTTGCCGACACGCGTCTCAAAGTGAGGAACGAGCGTCTTGACATCCTGCATGATGGATTCAATGGCAGTACGGGTCTTGTTGCGGTAGCAGTCCACTATAACTCATGTCAGCCCGATCTCTGTTTCGTACTCAACACGGAGAAACTTACGAGCTCTCTGGAGGAAGACTGTCCGTCCCGCAAAGACTCTGCTCTGCAGCCAGGCCATGCGGTATCCGAGGTCGTTGAGTCGGACCTCCTTGCCTCGGACACTCTTCCTCATGCGGGGAATGGCGACCTCGCCTTCGGTGTTCTCGCCAATCGGAACCTTGACCATGGACTTGCTGTTTCCACGGCCCCGGCGGGAGCTACGGCCCTCGGTGTCTTCAACACCATCGTCCTCCTCATCGGCATCCTCCTGGAAGAACTTGGTGCCGGTGGCAGACGGCGGCGGGCTCTGCATCTCGCGTGGGAAGTACGACCGCGGGAAGACGGAAGCGCCCTTGCGGAAGGAGTCGGGAATTTCCTTGGTATCGACACCGTCGAGCGTGACTCTGACACGCAGACGCGAACCGCGGACATTGTCCTCGACGAGAATGAACTTACGCTTCTTGGCCTCGGGGATGTTGGGGAACAAATCCTCGGGCTCGCCGTTGTCGCTGCGGCTGTGGCGACGGGCAGAAATGGCGCCGGCATGGGAGCTGCTGCCCATGTGCGGCATCGAGCCGGAGCTGGATGCCGGGTAGCCTCCGTGACCGCCGTAGCTTCCGGAAAAGACCTGCGACTGTCGGACGTCGCCGCCCTCCTGGCCAGCGGGGGCCTGGTGGTGGTGATGGTGTTCGTCCATGTATTCGCCATCGCCTATTTCAAGACAGCAAATGTCAGTCAACGTTACAATGAAGAAAGATTGGAAACTGGTTTCGGGAGGACGTATGCAGACGAGCGGAGTGTGGGAGGGGTAAACATGTTTGATCGACAACCCTGACAACACAAGCCAACGGCAACGCGAAACGCTCAAGACGACAAAGGGAGGATCGGGATGGGTTTGTTGCTTTTTTTTTCCCTCGAGGTACAAGAGTGGCATAAGAGTAGGTCTTTGGGACAGGCAGGACGATTTTCTCTTTTACGAGAAAAAAAGCCCCCCTCTTTCATCCAAAGCCATGCTATTGGGACGCAGAAGGATTGGGGATGGGATGCCAAAAACGCTAAGCAATGCGACTTTTTGCCGATGTCTCTTCTAAGAGGCATCGCATCTTGTTGCCCGACAAACTCGGGTCAGGTGACTAACGACAGCAACAGCAGCAACTGCGTGCAGCGCAACTATGGTAATGTACAGATCTGTGCCGTAGAGAAAAGGAAATCCCTCTCGACCCGCGGCGAGCTTTGCTGTATCGTGGTGGCAAGTTGCTTTGATGCGGCCGAAAAAGCCCGGCGCTATACAACAGGAGGAGCGCAAGGAAAATGACAAAAAAGTGCAACGAACCCATTCCCGAGACGTCTGACCAACTAGCAGAGTAATAATGTAATAAAGGCACAGAGGTAAAAAATTTGTATGTGTTTGGTGGTGATGAAGCTCGTGTCCGCTCTAGGATCACGGCCGACAAGACTTGGTGATGATGAAAAGGGGGGAAAGGTATCACATAATCAACGATCTTTGGGGGTTGTGCCGGGCAGTGGTGTGTATGTGCGATGCAACGACAATCAACAACAAACAACGACTGGGCTCGCAAACGCTGCAGATGCGGAGGGCTTCTTTAATCACATCTGGTGAAACATACCGACTTCATCCCCTCCACCCGGAGCGTTGGTGTGCGGCATATGACCCATGTTCATTCCAGGCATCTTGGCTGATGCACCCGCGGGGCCCATGCCACCAGCACCTTGAGCCATCCCTGGCGGACTGGGGCCGCCCATGTGAGCAGGGTGAGGGCCGCCCTGAACCGATTTCCGGGTGTTCATCTTGGCCATTCGGCGCACTCTTCGGCTTCGGAGCCGGGGGTCTTGGTTGCTGTTGCGCCAGCTGTCCACGGCGCGCTGGATAAGACCTCTCTTGCCGCGCAGAGGAGGGTTCAGCTGAGCAAGAGCCCATCCGACCGTGTTGCACTCGGTCTCGTATACTTGGCGGTTGCCTCGGTATTGGTCCTTGGGGCAACAGGCTCTGGGGTAAACGCAGTTCTCCGTCTTGAATTCGGCCGAGAGCTCGTCCGTGTTGACCGACTCAACATCGCAGCGGATGGTGTACTCCATCTTGACACGGTCGCGAGAGTACTCAAACGCGATCCATTGAACACCGTTCTGGTCTTGTCTTACGACCAAAGGCGTAGTGGCCGGAATGGGTCCAGGCGCCGCATTGGGGTTGACACCGCCAGGAGTCGATCCTGTGGGGGTGTTGAGAGCAGCGCCGTTCTGAGGGTGCTGCTGGTGTTGCATGGGAGTCGTCTGAGGCTTCTGGAGCTGCAGCGGCACCTGGGGCTCCGTCTTCATCTGGCCGCGGGGGCTGTTGGTCATCTGGGCCTGGTGTTGTTGCGCCTGGTGCTGGGGCATGTGTTGCTGCTGCTGCTGGGACTGCGCAGACATCATCATGTTGGGCTGCGAAGACATGGACTGGTGGGTCTGGGCCTGGTGTTGCGCGTAGGGAGACTGTTGGGGTTGCGCCTGCATCGACGGGTAGTGGGCTTGCGGCGTCTGGTAGTACATGTGCTGCTGGAGAGGTTGAGACGGCGGCTGGCCGTAGATGCTTCTGTGCTGGTCATGTTGGGAAGGCGAGGCTACCGACGCGGGCGAGTTCGACTGCGGTGTGTGGTAGGACATGGGAGGGTAAGGTGGTCTCGGCATTTGAGCGGCGGCCATCATGTCGGATTGGTCTGCTATTCAGTGGTCAACGGTTGTGAACTTTTGAAGCTGTCTCGAGAGAGCAAGTTGTCGCGCGAGAAGAGAAAAGGCAGCAAAAGACGCGTCTTTTTCTCAGTGTCTGGCGCGTCTTTTGCGCGCGTCTCTCTTGTGGCAGGCGCAGACACATAGACACACGCAGAGCAAGGTAAGGATAGCAAAAGAAAGAAGGAAAACTCACCAGCGGATGTGTATCCGCTTGTCGCGCCTGGGGTGCTGTAGGGACTCGGATGCGCGTAGTAGGGAAGGCCGTCCTGGGAGTGCTGCTGCTGGGCGTTGGAGGGCTGGCTCTGCTGCTGCTGGTAGGCGGGAGCAATTGGGTGTCCGGCGGAGGCGTAGGAGGGATGCTGCTGCGACTGGGCCTGGGGATGATGCTGTTGATGAACAACGCTCGAGGGTCGAGGATGTTGCTGGTGCTGCTGCAGATGTTGCTGCTGCTGCTGTGTAGGTGCGTGACCCTGGGGCTGATGGTGGGGGTGATGCTGCATAGAGAAAAGACCCATTAGTCCCTCGTCCAAGAAACGCTTCGACGTATTAAGTTGACTGGTGACAAGCAAGAAGGAGGAAAAAACAAAGTGAGGCAAGGCAAGGCGCGGCGCGTCTGTATTTTTATTTTTTGCACCTTGACACTGTCAGGGGACTGGGGGCATCCAGGTGCAGGCAGGTGCGTGTGGTGAGAAGTGGTTCCTTGCTGCCCCTGGGAGTCCTGGGAGTCGACGAGGATCACGCGGGTGAGGCGTGCTAGACCCAGTTCGGGACCCCTTTCTGATAAAAGAAAATGTGGATATTCTTTTGGGGAAAAGAAGAGGAGCAAGGCAAGGCAGGCAAGGTACGAATAGACAAGCAGCAGGATGGGGATGGGCTCCAGACCAGATGCAAGGTCGCCGTACTACGGCGCCGCCAGATCGGAGAAGCGAGGGCAGGGGATAGACACACACACATACACTAACATACACACCACAGAGAGTGCGAGTGAGCTGCCAGTGGAATTGTGTACAAGCTGGGTAAGGATGATCTGGGAACAAGATGGGAGGGGCGGATTTTTTTTTGGTTTACCCCTGAATAACTACCCAAGCAAAGTAGCGAGCTTCGGGTAAAGAGAGAGAATGGGCAGGTACTGCGACGAGGATACTCGGAAGCGGAACCCGAGTGGTTTCGAGAATGCGATGGCCTGGCTCTGGCAGATTTGCGCGACTGGGGCAGAGAGACGAAAAGATGAAGGATGGAGGATGAGTGGGAGAGGTATACGGAAAAGCGGTACGAGTAGGTGAAAAAAGAGTAGTGGTGTAGAGTGTAGATGAAGTACTCGAAAGAGTAACAAGAGGGTTCTTCTCCTTCGACTTAGACTGCGGTCCTGGTTCCTACTGCGGGTTCTTCCCAAGCTTGGTTTGGAGACGCGACAGGAAGGCCAGAAGGCAGAAAGAGGCGATGGATGGTGCAATGAGATGACAAGGGAGTATGAAGGACGGAGGAGAGATGGCGATCGGAGCGAGGGTGCAGCAGGAATATGGGCAGCCGAGGGGATTGGGCGAGTGAGGGTACAAGAGAGGAACAGGGTAGCTATTTGAACATTGGAGCAGGGTAGGATCCAAAGTGGGTAATTATGATGGGGAGTGATATGTCTGGGAATCGGGGAGGATGGGATGGGCAGCAAAGGAAGAGGCAGGGGACGAGACAGGAGGCGTCCGTCTTGGTACGAGAGCTGTTTTCTTTTCCTCTCTCTCTCTCGCGCAGAGTGAGCATGAGAGAGAGAAAGAGAGAAATCCTCTTCACTCTAACCGTCTCACACCTCGCACTTGCTGCTCCCGCTCTCACTTGTGAGGCAGCAGCAATGTGAAGAGAAGCGAGAATAGAGGATCCAGGACCAGACAGACAGGCAGACGTACACACGATCAGCCAGCCAGCCCGCAGCAGCCCAACCGGGGGTGAAAGCAAAAATGGGAACGCAATAGCCAGAGCCAGACCAAAAGCAGACGATACAGGAAAGCAGAGTGTCAGGGGGGCGCAGACGCGGTGGAGCTTGATACGGCACCGGTGCGGCTTCTTGTTCGGGGTAGAGAGAAAGTGCAATGTAAGGTAATACAAGGGGGGGCGATATAATGGCACGGTACCTCGAGACCTTGGACCCGATGCGAGGTTACGGCACGACGAAAGTCGAGATATCGACGGAGATGGCGATGTCGACGGCAATGCCCTTGTAAGCGCGCTACCAAAGCCGTGGGGCAAATTGGAGGCGAGACGACGAGGGCATACCATAGTATGCGCTTGTACACACACCTCTAGCCAGGCCCAGGGTCGGGAGGATATATCCGTGTATATCTCGACGTCAGAGAAGAGATGTGTGTAGGTGTATGTCATATGGAATGCGGTTGAAGGAAAGACAGAGCCAGAACATACTCAACAAATGATATGCGCCACCCAAGCAACGACGTGCGAAAGTGTGTGAGAGGTAAGGTGAAGAAGCAGGAGGCAGAATACAATAAAGCAAGAAAGCAGGCAATAGCAGCAGCAATAGACAGCAAATGCAAAACAGAGCAATAAAAAATTGTCAGGGTTTTGAACGTACGTGCGCGCGCGTGTGAATTCGCCTTCGGGTCTTTGCTACTCGGTAACTTGTGCAGGAAAGGACAAGAGGCAAAGTCGTTTACTAGTAACGGCGGCGGCGTCGTCGGCGGCGGGAGGTAGGTAGAGAGAAAGAAGAGAGAGAGATAAAAGTGCACCAATGAGTGAAATCTTTTCGGTTTGGGCGTACGCAAGTAGTAATCCCATACAAGAGAGAGCAAGACTGAGAGAGAGAGAGAGAGCTTCTCGATGCTTTTCTTGCTGCGACTTGCAGAGAGGTCCCAGAGCAAGAGCAGAAGCTGCGCGTGGGAGGACGGACAGGGGATAATAACGACCGGGGAGGGCGTGGGTGTTGGGAGGAGAAGGAGGATTGGCGGTGGTGGTGGTGGGCATCGACGAGGGCAAGGAAGATGAGGAAAGGACGCAGAAGACGTGAAGATGGGACAAGAGGGGCTGGTGTCGTTGTGAGAGAGAGAAAAAAAAAAGGCAAGGTAGGGGCGTGAGGGTATCATGGTGAGCCTTACTTTGCGACTGCCTCCTCTCTCTCTGTCTCCAAGTTCCAACGTGCGTGGAAAAGAGCCGGGAGAGAGGAGAGAGAGTCAGAGACAAGGTGAAGGCGAGGTGTACATGACCTTACGCAGTCAGGTAGGTAGGTACTGGGTAGTGTTGGAGAGGAAGGAAAGGGGGCGTGTGCGCAGTACGGCAGACAGGCGGGATTTGCTTTGGGTGTGTGGTGTTGGTGTTGGTGTGTGAAGGTGTGGTACGTACTGGGAAAAGAATAAGAAGGGGGAAAAAAAAGAAAAGAGGAAAAAAAGGTGCAGGTGGGGTGTAGGTGGGGTGGGAATAGATAGAGGGGCGTGCAAGTGCTGAATAGGGTGTATGGGACAGCGCATGGAAGAAACGTGACAGGGGTCTCTTGCATTGTAGATTAAATGGCCAATGGCGGCACGCGCTTGCAGGGCCGAGCAGGGTCAACTACCCAATCAGGCATCTCTCATCCGGGGCTAGCCAGCAGACCAGCATACTACCGGGATGCCGCCGCGGGCCCTCAATCTTGCTTTCTCTTTCTCTCTCTCTCTGCCACTCTCTCTCAAGTCTCTCTTTTTCTCGTGTGTACCGCAGTACTTTCTCTCTCTCTCTCTCTCTTGCGTGATGATTTTTCACTCATCTCTCATCTCTTTCTCAAAGGACCATAGTCTCTCATCCACTAGGGCGACAGACCGCAACTGTGAAAAACACGACTCCAGAAGCATGGCGTCTGCAACTTTGCTTGCCTGGCCCCCCTGGTCGTACCTTTTTTCCAGCCACCGACCCCCAAAAAAAAAAGAGGCTTCCCACTTTCAATTCCCGGGTTCCCTCCTCACCCTGTCCTCACCCCCGGTCCTGGCAACATCTTGCACTTGTTTGGCGCAAGGCGGTGTGGGAACCCATGAGGCGGAGACAGTCTGTGTGTGAGAGAAAGAGAGACGAGGGAAGAGAAGTAGGTAACTAAGTACTCTCTGTAACGGCCCTGGGAAAATGTGCCTGCGGAGACCCGGCTTGTGTGGGAGCCCTGGCACAGCACTCACTCCCGCGCTGTCGTTGGCATGTTCCCCCCGCGTTTGCTGCTTGACCGTTCCTGGCCTCCTGGTCCGGCTTCCAATGCCTGCTGCTGCTAATGCGCTGCTGGCATCTAGAATGGAGTGAGGTGGTGGGCATATGGGCATGGCACTCGCACTGGCACTTGAGACCTTGCCGCTGGCCCATGTATCACCCACGTCCCAGGCACAACCAGGAACCCGGAGCTCTGCTTGCCCAGCACTGCGGGAGCGCCGTACTCAGTACTCGCTGCCACAGGCGCCTGACAAGCCTGCTCCGAGGTCATCGATACGTTCGTTTCGTCCCCCAAAACCAGCTCAGAGAAGATGACGGGGGACGCGTTCTGGCTGTCTTCACCCTCGTCGTTCAACGTTGGTTTGGACTCTCCACAACTAGCAGCAGCAAAAGTCACCCTCGCCGCCCTTGCCCCCTGGTGGGAACAATGGCAAACGATTGTACTGTGGTCTGCAGGCCTTTTGCCCATCTTCTCCTCCTTGCCGGCGCGCGGGTCGAAACAAGAACAACCGGCCATGACAGACGTTGCCTCTCTTGCCAATCATCCACCAGATTCCCGATTTCCGCCCCCTATCAATGCGCAATCGATGGGGGAGAGTGAACTCAGAACTCGCGCAGATGTTCCCTCCAACAGCAGCCGATTCCGAATCATTCTGGCAAACGAACAGAGTGATGAATGCATCGGCTAGGTCAGCACCGACCCCCCATCCCCCCCCCCCCCCTCCCAATTGCTCAGCCACCCGTCATTGGGGAAAGCTGATGGCAGCCCCCACCAAGAACGTGTGTCGCAGAGCAAAAGAGAGAGAGAGAGGGAGATAGAGGATGAGTGCACCCCACCCGGACGCCTCCAGATCTCCACAATCGTCACCTCATCTTCATCTTGCTTTTGCCAGGGAAAGGCCCGTCAGAGCAGTACACCACTACGAATACCTCGACTCGAGTGTGGTTGCCGTACATCCACAGACAGAGCTCATCACCTAGAATGAGCTCTTCCTTCAGCCGATTTCTTTCGGCTAGCTTGTGGAATCTCTTTTCTTTTTCTCCTCGCTCTGACGTGTACATTATGACAAGAAGGAGCTCGTGACACTCCCGTCTTCAAAGTCCACGTGAGTGGGTAGGTAGGTAGTCGGGAAAACGGGCCCAAGGAAGAGGGCAGTAACGAGGGGGAGGCGCACAAAGTACACGCTTTCTTTCGCGCGCGTCCCATAGCGTAGCTCAACCTCACTAAGGCTTAAAAAGCTGAAAGGTCGGTACCCGTTGTGCTCGAGACAACACTAGGCATCTAGACAGGCCCGGGAAGCCGTTGGCCGCCGTTTTGCCCTGCGTGGTGTCCCTCATTTCCAACGAGCCAGCCACCTCTTGGCTTGGTGCCTGCGCCATCGAGTCTCGCCTTGTCACCACCACCTCCATTCAGCGTGAGAGGGAAGACGACGAACAACATGAGGAAACATACTGATACAGACAGACAACGCAAATCCAAACGCCAGCAACAAGAGGAATGCCGCGATTGCTGCGGCTCGCAAGGGGTGCGCGCCAGAGAGGCAACAGGCTGCACCTCCGCGTGAGGCCCCGGTCAACGACGCGCGAAGACTCGACCGTACTCCGTAGAGGGCAGAACCACGAACGTGTCTCTGGGAGCTTTCCCAAGGTATCCAATGTTCACCCAGCCTCCCGGAGCTTGAACCAGGTTGGGTAGCACTCACCCTGCCCTGCCCTGCCCAACCCCGGCTGGTTTGGTCTGGCTGCCCACGCCTGTCCCCTCACCCTCTCTCCAACTTTCCTCTCCCCCAACTTCGACGAGCGAAAATGAAAATTCGAGATAAAATAAAATCAAAGTGGTGCAAAAGGGAATAGCGTCGTAGTACACTGGTCGGGAGGTCCCACTCATGCAAATGGAGCCTGCGACGGCCCCGGTCATTGGTGAAACAGGAGCCACCCTGCCAATCTCACAGACTTTTTGGATTCCTGACCTGGTCAAGCTTGCGACAGCGTTGCCATCTTCTGGAAGCCACGGGAATCCCAGGAAACTCATCTTGCCGACGCCAACTGTGCGCGTAGCTCAAACCCTATCCATGTTTGACCTCTTCTGCAACTCCCGCTTGAGAGCTTCAGTCGAGGTCCGTGGGGACCGCCTGTCACGACTCGCCGTCCAAGCATGTAGCCGAGTGACGAGTCTTCCGGCAGCTAGGGCCAGCAAGCGTTCAAGCTGAGGCAGACACCCTTATGCGCGACCAACGAACTTGAGTAATTGAAATGGGGACAAGGGGGAAAGCACAGGAGAACGACTTCTTTCGGTAACATGACGACCAAACGGAAAGGTTTGTAGAATAATGGAAAAGGCGTGACTTACGTGATCAGGCTCCTGCTTGTAGCCACCCGAGGGCTGCCTGTTCTGCGCCATGGCTCTGACAGTCATGAGTTGATATTGATGTTTCTGTGCGTCTTGGTTAGCCATCTGTCATCTGTAGCTAATGAACCTTGAACCAGGCTCTTCCAGGCCTCCCTGGAATCAGAACAGACTCCAATTCATCCCAACGGGGATGTTCGATGTCCCTTACCAGCCAGGCTGGCATGAGGTGAGATCGCCGAGAGATGGCCCATCCTGATGCCCAACCTTCGCTGAATTCCCCGCACCTCTTGGTGCAAGGTTTTTCCATCAAGTCATCACGGCTGATGGACGCGTGGGCAAGGAAACAGGAATATCCGTGGCAAGAAAGGGAGGTTGGCCAGCGCTTTGCTGGCAAGAGATCGACTGGGAGATGCCTGTTGTTCGCGTGCGTACTCACTTTTTTTTGTGCTTAGGTAGGCTGGTCTAAATGTCGCGATCGCTGCGTTCCGTGTACTTCAGTTCGTTGCTGGTGCGGGCGTAAGTTGAGCAAAGATTGAACCCGTGATCTTGGGCAGGTGTGTCCGAGGTTGGCGACGTTGTGAAACAAAGATATCCCAGCTTGCTGCAAATCGACTCAAGTCAGCATCTTAAGTGTTTTGTTTTCCCAACTTTGATCGGAGCAAATTCATGCGACCGCGTCAAGAACACGCGACCGGGTCCCAAGAGGGCCCCAATAAAATGGTGACCCTCCCCCCCTGACGGCAATCACACAAGGAGAGAGGCCCAAGGGGGATGCGATGAGTCGTGCAGGCCATGTTCATGCGCAGACTGCAACATGGGACGTTACCGAAATTGAAACAAAGACGCGCTTGGGCGTAGTGTAAGCCCCATACGGATAGGCGCCGAACAGCAACGCCTTCAGATGATGCATCTCGAAATGCAATTTCGGAGCCCATCGGAAATACGACTATTCGTCAAGGCTGAACAAGATTCGACACGCGGCGGGGAGCACGGGAAGCAAAGAAAAGACGGAGATTAAAGACGAAAAATCACGAACCTTTTGGATGGAGAGTTGGACGTGTTAGAAACGCGTTGACGAGCAATGACGGGGGAGTGTCTGCGCCTGTATCTGGATAAGGCTGGCTGAACGAGGGTTACAAGTGGATTCTGATGATTCTGCAGCGTCTGCTTATAGTGTGTGAGTGTGTGTGTGCGAGTATAAGTGTGCGTATGTGAGTGTCTGTGTGTGTGTGTGTGTGTGTGTGTGTGTGTGTAGTGTACACTTGTGCAGGGGAGGGCAACCCAGTAATGCACGGAATTTGAGGCTGGCGCTGCGTGGGTGTCCTGACCTGGAACGAATGCGGGAGAAGAAGGCTCTGACAGCGGGCTCCCGAGGAAGAAGTCGATGGTTCTTCTAGTCCTTCTGACGGTAGGTAGCGTATCCGTAGGAGGGCTTGATTAGTGTGTCTGCTTCCCTGCTCAAATGGAGCTATGCCTCAACGCTGGCTCGGTCTGTTTGGGTGGTGTGTGACGGGCTCCCAATTCTCCGGGGATGGACCAGGGAGCTGGTCGAACGTTGTTCGCCGGGGCCGTGCGAACGAAATCTGGGATGCGTATGCAGGCCTTGCTGTGTCCCGCTACTGGGGGACCTGACTTGTGCGTCGTTGTTCTACCTGTATTCTGAATTAGTTCATGCAGGCCAGCCTTGCAAAGGCCACAAGCGCTGGCAACGGCGTCTGTCCCTCTCGCAAGGGGAACCAAAATGTACAACTGTCAAGCAACTGGGGAACCTACCTGGAGTGTGCTTTTGTGAAGTGCCTGGTCAGGGGTTTCTCGTGCTGAGGAGTGGCTCAAGCTGATTTATGACGCAACACGGACCCTGGAGAAATAGCGTAGGGTAGCTAAGACGCTTGTCAGGCACTGCGAGGAACGAACGGCGTGCTGGGTGTGACTGGGAGGCGTGTGGAAGGACGGGTAAAGCAAGGGAAAGCAGAGTCAAGAGGCAGACGGCGTCATGGAGAGAATGCCGGATATTTAGGCAGAGCCAGGGAGACTCGAGTGATTGGCAACGGGTCCTCAGAGGAATAAGAAAAAAGAGCAAAAAATAGGACCAGCGATAACGCCAATTCCCAAGTAGGTCGACGTCCCTTCAGTTGGCCACTCGGCACATTGATTAAGGAGAAGCTGGGGTGTGATGGGCTGCGTCCAGAGGACGACTATTGGATGATACCGCAGCCCCCCAAGAGAAATGTGACGAAAGAATCCCGGCTAAATGAATCGGGTGGGCAGGTGTAAGGGGAGCCAGCGAGAAGGGAGGTGTGGACGGAACCGGTCCCCCGGTGGGAGGGTACGCAATACCTAACGAGACAGGCCAAAGGAGCGAAATGCTGAAGAATATCGACGTGATGTGCAGAGCCTAGACCGAAGTTCATCCTCACCGCTCCAACAGCGGGAAATACACCCTGACGGACACCCACAGTATGAATACGGGTGGGTGGAAAGAGTACGGAGGTCCATCGATATCTACATAGGATCCGAGATGCCTGTCAGCCAGCCAAGAAGAGCCAGGGTGGGAGTTGGCAGGCGCCCCGTGGAGAGGCGGTAGCTCACTTACCATGATTCTATGAGAATAAGCTTCTTCGGCATCCGTAGCTGAAGTGGCGATGTCAGTATTAGTTTGCGACCTTGCTAAGGTAGCCTAAGGTAGCTTCAACGTCGAAGCCGTCCGGGGGAATGGCTGCGCTTCTGAGCCAGATCTAGAAGCCTGAAATACCCTGCTCCTTACGAGGAATGGGACGGTATGACCAAGGTAAGCAAAGTGCTACCTCAAGGTAGTTTGGTGGACCGTTGCCTGTCAAAAAACACCGGTCACGGTTAGCATTGAACGACCCTTGCCCACACACGAAAATGCCTAGTCGACCCGAACGTCTCACCCTGGGCTTTTGGGGTTGGGGGTTGAGCGGGAGGCAAGGGGGGTCAGAAACGGTGCCAACCTCAAAGAACCACGAGGTTGCTCGGACTTCTCGTACTATTGCTTGATGTACTGCCTTGGAGTGTGCGCAGACAAACGTTGCTGAATCGCGACACGACGACTATTCCATAGAACGCACAGTTTGGATTTAAGTAACGGCGGCTCCGAGAGACAGTATTCTCAAGCCGTTTCGGTTCTGTTCGAGTTGGAACGTAAGTAGCTCCCAAAGACCAATAGAGCGACTGGCTTGAAATGCTCCTCCGGTGACTGTCCACAATGCTTGGTGTCACAGGGTCAAGTTCAATTATGCATCAAGTACGATGCAAAAAAGGCGCCGCTTTTTTCACGGCTGATTGGATGCAATACGCGCTGTGTGCAATATTCTGCAT